TTTACTTTTTAGTTAAAAAAATCAAAAATATGATTTTACTAATTTAATAAACAAAACAAAAACTTGATCTATAGGTAAATTTCTTAAAAATATAGAATTAATTAGTTAAATAAAAACCAAACCTATTCGAATTACTGTAATTTAAAGAAAGTGCTTCTCCTTTTTTTTTTGGAATAGTATAAGTAAAATAATTATGGTAACAAGTATAATATTTCAATGTTAATGTTTGGGCAGATTGAATTATAAATTGCTTTAAAATAAAATAGGATAATTTAGATTCTGAGCGAAGTGAGATCATTGTACAATGATGTTTATTATTGTTTACCACTGAACAACATTTCCACTATAAATTAAGTTCCAATATTCAAGTTTAACACTTTTTTTGAATGTAAATCTGTCTAGGAGGTCATTTTTGGGTTTTCTTAGTTGTTTTCATAATAAATGGGAAAATTCTTAGGAAAAAGGGAAAATAGGTACAATATTGAATAAATATTTTTAAAGAAAGTATGTAATATATAATATAAATATATATTGTTGAAAAAATATTACTATTAACCGAACTTTAATTAGAATCGTTTTTCGTTAGCAATTGTTAATCTTTGCGTACAGATATACATCAAATTTTCTTTCTACCTTCCTAACTTCTCACTTACAACAGCGGCCCATCCACCGTACGAAGTTTGTCAGTACTTTTTTTTTGTTTTATCCTAGGTACGCATTATACAATATACTCGTATACTCGCATATATGACAAAATATTTCAAATTTAAATTATGAAAAAAAAGTTTACAAAACTATTTACAAAAATTGTGGTACCTAACTATAAAAAATAATCATATTAACACCTATGATCATTTTTTTTTATTATTCATGTATTTTATTTTCATCAAAACCGTAGGCGCAGTCTGATTTTTCCAGTGTACATTCAATAATACAATGCTTTATCAAAAAAATTCAACGAAATCTCAAAAAGACTGTGACGTTTAACACATGAAACAATCTTTCGAAACCTAATCGTTTTCGTAATTAAGACTAAAGAATTATAGGTATCTGAAATATAGTACATCATACATGCGCATGGAAGAGGGCTGTTCCCCCCCCCCATAGTACCTAGGGAATTTAATGCATATTTCGTTTTCTTCTTAATATTCGGTTGATAAATTTGAAACTTTTTAAACTTAATCGAATATTTTTTTTTTAATTTTGCAGCAATTTCATATTCTCTTTTAAAGATTTTAGAACGTTCAAGAACTTTTTCATTATATAGTTTTATAACTCCGACAATTAATTTAAAGATTCCGAAACGTACCGGTCGTTTCTATATTTAATTTATGTATTTTTTAAATTACTTTAAAATTCTTAAAGAGTCTAAAACACATAACAGGTTTTCGTCACATTTAAAAAATAAATCCTATTGATCTAAAAATATAATATTATACGAATTTAAGATTTAACTTTAATAATCTTAAACCAAGAAAAAAAAAAAAAAAATAATAAAAAATCACATTAAGAAATAAATTATGAATTTAATTTCTATTTATTATTTAAAAATAAATAAAATAATACCGAGGGCTATAGCAAGTTTGTGTATAATTAAAAATAAATACCAGGGGGAAAGGAAAAAGGGAATAGGGAAAAATGTACACAATTTAAAGTTTACGTTAATAAATGAAATAAAGTTTTATTTTGGTTCATGTGAACATAATTTTAGGGTCTACTCAACATTTTTGAAAATTTAACACGAGGTCTATCCTAAGTTGTATTTGAGGATAAAAAAAAAAGTCAAGTGTAATGTTCTAGTTTTTATTATATGCTTTTTAAGTTCAAATTAAAAAAAAAAAAACATATTCAACTAAACTTCGCTAATAAATCTGCTTAGCAATGATTTATCGTTGCACGAAGATGTAAATTTAATAACTTATTGTACCATAGCACCTTTCTACCTTCACTGGAACTTTCCACCTACAACAGTGACACTTCAATCGACAGTATTAGCTCTCGTTTTTTATGATTATACATTTGTAACGGAAAAATTTGATGTGAACGGATAAAAGCGATATTTTTAACGTTTGTATTTTAATTTCGGAGCTCTTTGTTACGCAAAACAATTCCTTTCAGAATGAAACACGAACAAAACAGTTTGTTATCCTGTGGTTCATCTACGAATTCCGATTTCTGTTAAAATTATTGTTAAATACACAAATTCCTAAAACGATAGTTGCGTCCCCAACACTAATTTGCAATATTATTTATATTCCTTTTTTTAATTTTATAAATAGTGAATCGAGTTGCTTGTGAGAATACGTAATGAGTTTCGTTGAAAAAATATAGATATATACATGGATAAAATAAATTTACTGATTACTGCGGTCGCGGCTGATCAAAGAAAATAATAATTATAAAGTAATTTCGTTATACTTTTAATTGATCGTGTTATTAATCATGAATATATACATCGTTATGGTAAATAAATTAAATTATTTTGTTTTAATAAGTTCGAAAAAAAAAAAAAAAAAAACGCTACTTTTTACAGTTTTTCTACGTATATAATTATTTTAAACCAATGATAAATATTTAGGAGAAAAGAAAAAAAACAGCTGCACATACTTTTCACCGCAGATGGGCCACTGTTGCCCAACCGCGTAACTATAAGTGCGAAGTATGGACGATATGGAAACATAGGATACAGGGTGATTTATAGGATGGCATACTAAAAGCAACGATAAATCATTGCATTCAGAAAACGATTTTAGAGTAAGTTTATAATACAAGTCATGTCTTTAGGTTCAGAGTGAGGTGAGGAATGTATTAATTTTTTTTTTGTCGGATAACAACTTTTCTACCATAAATCTTGCTCCTATCAAAAGAATAACAAGAGAACCTTTTTGTAACATTTTTAGTGGGATATAATGGGTACATTGATGAGATTATTTTATGGTTTTCCAAGCAATTTTCATAATAATTGAGAAAACCGGAAAACGTTTTGGAAAAATGCCTTATTCTTGAATTCATATGAAATAGCAGTGGTGAATTTACCCTCCCCAGACACTGATATGTTTTCAATAAAATTACGTCCAAAAAGAGTTATCCATAAATGGATACCTTTGAAAAATGAATCATTTTTCAGTTTCTCTCCTTCGTTATAATTTTTTTTTTATTTAAGTATTATTATTACCTTGTACATTATCCATATCGACTACTACGTCTGAGTGCGCGTTCTCTCTTTAAAGAGAATCAAAACATACGTACGGAACACGATGTCAGAGGTATTTTTATAATTGCGAATTGGAAAACTATACAATCATTACGTACAGTACGCTTAGCTGATTATTTGATACATATTGTTCACAATAATCAATTAAATGGATGAGTTATACGTACAGTCCACAAAAACGCACCTATAGATCCAGAGAACGTACCGAAAGAAATTTATCTATAAAGTTGTAAATAATAGATACGCAATTATAAATTGTGTAATTTGTTTAAAAAATAATATCTATACCTATCTACCAATTATCTGTTAGTTGTCTTGTTTTAATGTAAGACATTATTATACTTGCGATGGTCTTTTTTTTTTTTTTCGAAAACCTAACTTTCTCTGAAAATAAGTCTTAGCTAATAAGTACGTAGCCCTCTCCCCTCCGTACAATCAAGTGGTTTTTGTTCTTTTTTTCGTTTATTCATTAGCACGTTTACTTTTAGAGGGAAAATTTTTATGAGGTTTCTTTAAAATTCGAAACTCCAATACTGTTTAACATACTAGGTTATATAACGATGAAACGTCACGAAAACAATTTTCGATTTTTCCACAAAAACAATATGAAATACACTTGGAAATATTTACGAAACTCGTCGACATACAGCTGGTGCGGAAATAAGACACGGAATATGCTCCTCGAAAATAATACACTTTACAACTTTCTTTTTGTTTTAATTATTTGTCAGTAAAATTAAAATGTTGTATTTAAAAAAAAATATTATACTACAACTTATTTTGCAAATAAATAACCAGTGTCCGCAACAATAAGAAGTAAACCATTACAAATAGAACTCTGAAATTAAATAAATTAAACAATTTTTAACTATGTTTTATGGTAAAAGTACGAAATCAGAGAGACTGAGGATATTACAAAATAGTTTGGTCATATCTCGAACGATTTTTGTTGTTCAGACTTTTTTTTTTGGATCTTTAGCCGCTTCAACTAAAAGTCTTTAAATATTAGGATAAACAATTAGTGTCCGTAAGAGACCGAAATTTCATTTTTTCCATTCGTTTCGTACCCGCTTTTCTATATTATTACAATATTATACGTTAATTATAAGACAGTAAAATTATCTAAAAAAAAAAAAAAATTGAAATCATCATTATGCATCAGGTACGAGAAAAACACTTTTTTTATTTATTCGTGCTGACTTGGTAACTGTTGCATCTCGAGTTTACCTAAAAGGAGAGTTAAAATTTCAAAGCCCATTTCCCAAAAATCACGAAATGTGACATTGGCTCAACTTGTATCAAACCACAGAATTTATTTCATTCTTAACTTTTTTTAACGGCGAAGAAATTGCATCATCTCGTTTTATAGCCGTTTTTCCGATGCGCTTTTTACCGTCGATATTTTTTAGTTTGTTTCGTTTAACGTAATTTTTTTTGTCTCCGGAGAGTATCGAATAAATATTATCAACGCTTGTAGTGTTTTTTCGACCAGCCGCTAACAAAATACATTAAGTATGAAAAAATTTCAATTTTCAAAAAAAGTCCCTCTATAGCGACGATATTACGAATCGCGTATGCGATTTTCGACAGTGTTCAGTATCGAAACTCGCATGAGACTCGCACGGAACTTATTAGTTTTGACGCGTTCCGGTTAGATTTAGACCGGATCGCGCTCATTTTGAAACCAACCAATTGTCGAATTTAAAGTCATTCAGTGCGATCAAATAATTTTTGAATTTTTTTTTTTGTTTGTTTTCGGAACTAACGAGTTTTGATTTCGTAGCCTATGTTAGCTCGAATAACAACAAAAGGTAAATCGCGTATCGGCGCTCAACGACGCGTCAGAGTACTCGCTTTTTATCGTCGTGTAGGTTTGTTTTATATTTTATTATCGAAATGTGTACTGTACGTTGTTCAATAGGCGAAATATATGTGTGTGTGTGTGTGTGTGTGTGTGTGTGTGTGTGTGCGTGTGCGTGCGTGTGCGTGCGTGTGCGTGCGTGTGCGTGCGTGTATTTGTGTGTATACAAATGTACAATTGTACAATTATACAAACATAACACGACGGACGTTACGCGTTTTGTTTGTCAACGGAATTAAATTGGACACATTCGAAACGTATCCGCGCAACGAAACGAGAGAGAGAGAGAGAGAGAGAGAGACAGAAAGCCCGTCAAAGCGAACGAAAAGTCTTGTTTCAAACGCATTACCGTGTGTGCGGGTGTGTATAAATAAAGTTACACCACGGCCGGTCACGATAAATAAAACGTGTTGTTTTTAGCCCGTCGCCGTCACCGCTCCGGGGAATATATACCGCGGGATGCACTCTACCCGAAAAAGACCTCGCCCGGAAAACGTTCCGTTCTATCCCACGCGGAAAACCTACGCGAAAACCTATCGATACGAACGCCACACGGAACCAATAACAATCGGCGGCCTAATTACCGGGGAGTTCCGCCGGACGGTTTTAGCACGTCCGATAAGACTCGAAAACACACAGTGATCAAACGTTTCTTCCGTTTTTGGGAAAAACGCGAGACCGTCGCTCATGCGTCTTACGGGCGGGCATCAAAACGTGTCGCGGGGCGGTTTATTCATTCGTGTCGACAAGTAATTATTGTAAATTACTGTTTGCGACACGAAAAGTACGGGCCGTGATTTTGCGTTCGCGTTCGGCGTCGAAACGTTTGAATTCGGTGACGAAACGTCACGCCGTTGGTTTTTCACCCCGCGAAATAACGCGCCGCCGTAGGGAAACCATCATGTCCTCAGTGTCCCGCGCACATCCTTTCACGACGGACATTTGTTACATTGTTATAGCAATTGTCGCTGCTCGGGCGGCATTTTTTTCGTCACGCGAATATCGTTTTATCCGCCCCCCCCCCGATTACGAGACGCGTAATTGTCAAAAATCCCGTGACGTTTAACGGCAACCGATCGGAACAGTTTGGTCCGTATAATGTGTTACACTACGATTCAATGCTTATCGAAAAAACACAATTCATAATAACATTACGTGTATTTCGTGTATTAATGTAAAAAAATATGTTATTCCGTAATTTATGGTCATGTTCTGGTGTCGGTCTTGTTCGTCACGTCGGCTTTCCGAAAGAGTCGAACGAATTCAAACGTGTTTAAAAACAAAACAAAAAAACGGCCGGAAAATTCGGATCGACAATATTCTATTCGTCGTTTCTGTATACCTCGCTATATCGTGGAAAATTCGCCAAAATCCCACCGTCCGGATTGCCGGGATTCTAAATCAAACGTTTGAAATTTTCACGTTAGATCCGTTTAAGCGTTTTCTACATAGAGTTTAAAAACTAATCGCAAATAATAAATGTATTCGATATAAAAAAAAAAATCAAAATTGAAAAATAAATAACGACAAAAATATCGTAATAGATTCGATGAAATCGAAAACTCCGATTTTGAAATTTAGAATTGGAATTTTCGAAATCTCCGATAATCCGGATTTTTTCGCGAACATCACTCGTGCCTAACCAAATTTAATTTCTGGTTTCGTTGACAGGTATCGTTGCTGTGTGCGGACGGCATTATGATCAGCGCCCGGCTCGTCGTAAGCGACGAGAATTGGTGCAGTGCGTCCCGGCAACGGCTAATCGCGGCCGCGGCATGTCGTCATCGTCAGCGAAGGCGTCGTCGTCGTCGTCGACGGTGGTGGCCGGCGGCATGATCGCCGTGCTGCTGTTGTCGACGAGCGCCCTGTACGGCGCGTGGGCCTACTGTCCGGCCGCGTGCGAGTGCAAGTGGCGCGGCGGCAAGGAGTCGGCCATCTGCTCCGAAGCCAACCTCACGGCCGTTCCCCGGCAATTAGACTCCGGCACGCAGTTGCTCGACCTGAACGGCAACACGCTGTACCGGCTGGGCAAGGACGCGTTCGCGGACGCCGGCCTGCTCAACCTGCAGAAGCTGTACATGTCCAGGTGCAAGATCAAATCGTTGGACCAGTACGTGTTCCGCAAGCTCAGCAACCTGGTCGAGCTGGACCTGAGCCACAACAACATACCGACGGTGCCGTCCGTCGCGTTTGAATCGGTGCCCGAGCTCCGGGAGCTCCGGCTCGACGGCAACCCGATCATGAAGGTGCCGAACCGCGCGTTCGAGCACGTTCGCCGGCTGGTCCGGCTGGACGTGTCCAATTGTAAGGTGGCGCTACTCGAGACCACGGCGTTCTCCGGCCTCGAGAAATCGCTAGAGTGGCTCCGGTTCGACAACAATCAGCTGCGCGAAGTCAAATCGATAACGATCACGTCGCTGACGGGACTGCACGGCGTGCAGCTCAACAACAACCCTTGGAACTGTTCGTGCAAGCTCCGGCCGCTTCGCGAGTGGATGTTAAAAAGGAATGTGCCGTACGGCGCGCCGCCCGTGTGCAAGGCTCCGGCCCGGTTGGCCGGCACGCCGTGGGACAAGCTCGACCTGGACGACTTTGCGTGCGAACCGCATTCAGTGCCCGTAGCGCCCGTCGTGGTCGTCACCGAGGGCGACAACGTCACCGTGTCGTGCCGGATGTTCGGCATGCCGATACCGTCGTCGCGGTGGTCGCGAAACGACCGGCCGGTCGGCCAGACCGCCCGGAACGTGCCGGTCACCGAGGGCCGGTACACGAACCTGACCATAGTGTCGACGGTCGCCCAAGACGGCGGCAGATACGTGTGCGAGCTGGAGAACCGGTCGGGCAGCTCCCGGGCCAACGTTACCGTAGTGGTGGTCAAGCGATCGCCGGAACTGGCGCTGACCGCCGACCGGTACGCTTTGCCCGGGCTAATCGTCGGCGTCATACTGGTGCTGTCGTTTTGCCTGATATTCCTATGCGGGCTGGCCATCCGGACCAAGGGCAGTCCGGCCAGGTACGCGAGCAACGGCATCGGTGCCGAGGTCGGCGCCGGCGGAGTGGCCGATCCGTTCGACCGGTACGAGAAGATCGAGATGAACCACGAGGACAAGACGGCGGACGTGCAGCAACAGCAGCAACAACAGCAGCAGCCGCCGGTGCCGTCGTCCGACAAGAACGGTCGGGTCGATCCGCCGGATTACGCGGATTCGATGGAGGCCGCTACAGCGTTCGGCGGCCGTCGTCGGCGCGCCGACGAAGAGGACTACGACCGGTTGCCCCCGGCTGAAGAGCCGCCGGCCTCAAAGGCCCCGTCGGCGACGGATCGGCCGACCGCTCGTCCCAGCCATCCGACGACTTCCGTCCCACGCAGGTAACACAAAATCCGTCGGTGCACAGTGCTTTCTAAAATTTTTACTGCGGTGCTACTGAGAGTCTGTCGTATAACGGTTTGATTCCTATTTGGATAATCGTCTCAACTATAATAACAAAAATTGATGATGATTCTTATTTGTATAAAAACCGTAATTCATAAAATATAGGAAATTATAACGAGGGGCCATTCAAACAGAAAGGTCGGACGAGAAAACAATCGAAAGATTAAGCATTGTACAATAACAACTATGAAAATTACCGTAGATTTCGCACACATATTCTGTATAGTAATATTATATTTAAATTGTCCGTGTGGGAGATTTATAGAAGTTAGTCGACCGGTCTGTGTTATACTCGCGGTGGTCGCGTGTAACTAGCGCACAGAAATCCGGTTATAAAAAAAAAAAACAAACAAACCGACATACTCCGCACTATGGGTGGACTAATATTGCGAATGAGAAGTCGGGAAGGTATAGGGGAAGCTTAATGGACGTTCAGAGCCTGGGGGGGGGATACAAGTTCTCTAGGGCGGAAAGAGTTTTAACATTTTAATGGGCGGAAACAAAAAAATGTGTAGAGGTTTATGTATGTTTAATAGGGGCGCCAATAATAGTAAGCACGGCACTGTGTACGTCTGTACGCGGCGGTTAATCACGGCTAACGAAAAACGATGCATGTTTTGAAAGGCCGTAATTCCCGTTTTTCCCGCGTTTTTTCCCGGTTTTTCTCGTTTATCGTGAAAACCCTTGGGGGAAAAATCAAAATATGACTATAGCCCAACTCAGAATCTAAAACAACGACTAGCCGGGTTTTTTTTCCCCGCGATATTCCAGTGTTTATACGTACGCCGGTGCATAAAATACGAAAACTGCGGTTGTAGGTAAAAATGTCCAGCTCGTGCACTGTAGCTATAGCTAGATAACTATTAACAAAACTGAAGGATGGAATCTCTTAGGTTTTTCAAATTATTTTCCCATTCCCACTCAGCTATTGATTGAAAAAAATGCGATTGGATCTAGCGGCTGACCGGTGCAAAACAGATCAAAGGGAAAATTACGAACCGCCGTCAAAAAAAATAATAAAAAAAATACACGAAAACTTCTTAAAACGCATATCATTAAATTTAATTATCTTAATTAAACTGTGTGGCAGAGTAGTGCGGCATACTTTTTTAATCAAATTTTATCATTGTCATTTGTATTGTTTTTGAGACCGAAATTAAGACGATTATATTACGCCCGCCCATTAATATTATTATTACTCATAAAAACTGCATTTAGTTTATTATTTATTTTTCTATATAAATGACGATCGATTTGTTTACCTCCGGACATTTTTCCGCCGGACGTTTCGGTAGAACCCCGAAAAGTCGCGGCCGTCCGCAAACCGGCACGGTGGTCACCGCGCTCGAAGTTGTTACAAAATTATTATGCCGCGGACACGCGTCCCGTCGCCGGTGCGGACCGCGTCGACGCGTATCGGCAACGATAAAAAATGTTTCCGTTTTCCGCGGGTTCATTGCGCTTGACTCAATAATTCCGTTAACTTTGCTTCGTGGTTTGCAGCGTGTGTTGCGCGGGTCGGTTTTGACGGGAAATTTTTATCGAAAATCACCGTCCGCGTGAATTTTACCCGAGTGACGTCTGTGCGTACACGGCGCCGGCGGCGTTCACTCGAACGAATATTGAAATATTGTAAATACGCCAGCCCGTAACAGTAACGGTAATAATAATATGAATAAATCCCTCCCTAGGATAATGGGGACGGGTGCGCCCACTGCGGTAGGCGGGAAATCGGCGAGGATAGGGAATTCGAACGCGGGTCGTCCGTGGGCAACGATTAACCGTTGCTAATGGAAAAAGTATTCTGAGCGCAGTCATCGTATCTGTTTTCCCGGACTTCCCGTGTTTTTTCACGGGTTTTTCAATTTGTTAGGAAAACTCTTGAGAGAATCAAAAAATGAACCCTCCCCTAAATTAATATCCTTTCTTTTAGATTCTGAGTGAAGCGAGTTGATGTATTTTATTTTTATTTTTTTTTTTTTTTGTTTTTCTGTAAATAACTCTTTTACCGGATATCTTGTTCCGATAAAAAACAAGTATTCAAAGGAAGCTTTTCGGGGTATTTCGAATCTACTTGGTGTCGAATAGAAGTTAGTTTTTTTTTTAATTTCAACGCATCTTTTGTGATAACCGAGAAAGATCCAGGAAAAATGTGGGTGAAAATAATCCTAAAATCTGTATATTTTCAGAATATTTATGTTGTTCAACTTTTCTAGACGAGGTCGAATATTCAAAACATTCTGGCGATCATCGAGCTTTGTTTATAAGCGTCTGAATGTCGTGGTTTTATTATTAGTGGGTACATTTTCAGCCGATTAGAAACACTTGTAAATAGTACATGAATTTTATCAGTTAATAAGTTTTACGTGACGACCAAAAAAAAAAAAATGACTCGCGTAACGTAGTAATTTTTTAATTTTTTCGTTATGAATTCAAACGTTGACCGTTCTCCAAAATCTCCAAATACGTTCAAGTAAAGTACTGCCGGGCTAAAATTTCGCACCTTATTGGTATTGCACAGCGAATCACAAACGTTATGTAAATACAAACGGCTTTTTTTAAATTTTTTTTATAAAAATAAAAAGGGTTTACATTACGGCGTTATTTATGATAACTTTTTGGAGGCCAGATAAATCGCGTATTTAAAATAATAATAATAATCCCTCTGTGTTTTCTACTAAAAATGTCCGAGTATACAAAAGTTTCGGTTCAAGATCAATTCCAAAGAAATAAATTCGTTTCGCACTTGCTATTGTATACATATATATATATATATAAATATATATTGTAGTCTGTGACTTTTCCTTATTTTTAATCTTATTCAAAAAAGTTTTCCTTTTCACTGTATAAAATAATAATAATAAAAAAACAAGCTTTTGAAGTTCTTTTCGTTTGTTTGTGTTTTATTTTCCACCCCGAATAAAGTTTTCAAGTTTTTACGTGTATACAACTGTATTAACCTGTCGAGAATTTCTTTTTTCTCGCTAACTCTATACGCATTAACGATTTAATCTTGACATTATTTTCAAGGTAAGCGCGTTCCCCGTATTGACATTTAATTTATATAAAACGCACGCACAGTAATATTTTTTAAATTGGCGTTTCATTTATAAATAAAACGCGTAGGTATTCGAAACGTTCGTATACACCTACATTAGAATTAACGTCAAGATTAAATCGTTAACATACAATCGTATGCAATTACGCGAAGAGTTTATAATATTCGAAAAAAAACTCTCATTTTTTTTTTTTTTTTTTCCTATATGTATATTTTTATAACGAGAACGTTATAAAATATTAACAATGAGAAACCCCGCGGCAATTTATTCGCGATCGGAGACGTACGATAACAAATACGCACACTTCACCGGGCCGTATAATAGGTTAAAATCGAAGACCGAACAGAAAAAAAAAAAAAAGAAAAAACAGAAATAATGCGAATAAAATATTTTATTATCGAACGTTAATTTTCGTGAATACGTCCGTCCGCGTTGACCGAAGGCCGATAAAAGCGATTGGCACGCGTTCGGTTCGTTTTATATTTAATTCGTAGGCAAAATATCTCGACGAACGCGGCTTGAAACGAATATTATCGGTAAAATCGATAAAATCTTTACAATAAAATAACACTATTAAGTCTTGTTAGTACCACATTTATACTGTTTTATTCGGAACGCGTACCAGAATCATTATTTATTTGATTTTTTTCAGTCGGTTTTTTTAAAAGTGGGGCGGGAGATGTATTGATCTCGCAATGATGTCATTTTCTGTTTTTTTTTTTATTTTTTTTTATCGATCAACATTTTCTCCACCAAAAATCTCGCTCCGATTTACAAGTGTAGCATTTATTCCGAAAGAAAATCTGACCCCGGGGTGATACTTTAAAGATGTCATTTTTTTGGTTTTCTCATGAGGATAAGCGAGAATACATACGAAATGAACGTATTAGTAAAGAAATATAACGGACATTTTTTTCCTCGTGAATAACTTTTCCACCAGCAGTTTTCCTTCGAATTTAACGATAGCATTTTTTCTAAAAGAAAATCTGACTTTCCCCCGGAGGAGATTTCTCAGTAAATGTAAAAAACCGGGAAAAAACGTAGGAATAATGGGAAAATAGGTACAGTATTATTAAAGAAACTGTTGAATGAATGTGTAATTATTTTACCATAATATATTAAAGCAACATTATCTATCTTTGTATCTTACCTTTCTAAACTTTAACCTAAAATGGTGGCTGCACTCATCCCCATTATTCTAGGACAGCTTTTTTTTTTCTTATAGAATGAAATATCATTTTTTATTTTTTTTTTTTTTTTGATAAAACAAAATAATTATCACAATAAAAACGTTTAGATAAATTATACGTTTAGATATCATTTACTACACTGCCACTTTCAAATATACCTAGTATGCATTTTAAACTCTGCGCCAATAGATTCGTGATAATTTTACATCGATTTTTCAAATTATCATAATGTGAAAAGAACGGAAAATTCTCTCATTGAAAAATCTTGCTTGAATTTAGTTTTTATTTTAGGTTAACGTTATAAAATTAAACATAATATACAGTCGCCTGTTTAAATCATTTTAGTTTCTGACTGAAGCGAGGAATATATTGGTTTTACAATAAGCAAAAATTCTATCAGAAATCTTGCTCCGAAATATCTAGTGTAGCACTTATTCTGAAAGAAAATCTTACTGGGGTGGTACTTAAGGAAGGCAACTTTTTAATTTATCGTGTGGTTTTCGTAATAAATGAAAAACCCTGGGAAGAAACGTAGAAAAAACGGGAAAATGTAAGAAATGCAATATTTTCAAATCGTAAATATTACGATCTTTTAAATATATATAACTTAACACTGTTTAGAATTTTTTTACGTTGCGTACATTAAATTCCCTTCTTTACTCTACTTTCCCAACTGCTCATCTACAACAGTAGCCCATTCATCGAGCGAAGTTTATCTGTATCTTTTTTTTATTGTTATTGTAATACACAATAAAACGTTATCGGAATATGTATTTGAATATAATTTTTTTTAAGTATCTACAACAGTAACGTAAAACAAAAATATTATTAATATTTTTATTGGAATACGTTAATAATCTGCATATTTGTAAATTTCTAGAATACGTATGTAATCATAATTAATCCTTTAGAATTAGTTTTAAGTTTTAAATCAGAAACTTCCGTATCAACGCTATTGTAATCATTAATCACACGATATCAACTTTTGATTTTTAAACAGCGAGCCGCATGTTTAAACTACTATTCCAAAATAAAAAACATGTTTCCAAAATTGTGCATACCCTAACATTAAAAACCGATTGAATTTATCGTATGCGAATTACTTGGTTAAAATGTCGTTTAGAAAGCAGACCTGAATGACTACGAAAGAGTTTGGTGTTTTTAAACATAGTATACATATGCGATTTATAACAAAATTTAATTAACTTTGGAAAAAAAAATCGTTAATCACTGGTTCCTGATAAAAAGAAACGCTCTGTATAATGTATTTAAACCATAATTATTGAAAACTATACACGTGCATGTCTCGGTCTATACGTAAATCTAATATATGAATTACACTATAAGTATAGAACAATTAGTTATATAGGTATATATATACATATATTTATATTTTTTTTCTTTAATCTTAGCCTCACCGTAAAAAATTTAATGATATTACACAATATTTATCATTTTTTTTTTACTGTCATTCGTAATAATAATTCCTCTAATTTTTCATAAATGCGTATAACGATTTTTGTTCCGACATTCTTTTGTGTTCATTTCAATTTCCATGAGGTCTCTTTTTTTTTTTTATATATATATGTATATATCATTAAATGCAAACAAAATTAATTATATATTATTTTTGTTTGTAACATTAAATTACAATTGAATTGTATGATATCAACTACATGATATTCAGCGAAACAAAATTGAAATACAATTTTAAAACTTTTTCATATTAAAATACTCACACGAATCTACACTTGAATGTACTTCGCTTGTATAACTGTAGGTACAAGTACTCTTAATCATTGTTGACGAAATACGATTCTGAGCGATGTTCGGTTAAACATTACACTAAGCACACGGCTATTGAGTATGACTTATAATGAACCTTTCTTTTAACATTTTAAGCATTTCTGTGGATTCAAACAATTTTATCTCCATATATAACCAGAAAAAAATACAATTATGTCAAGTGCCCAAAAAACTAAATCGTAGAAAATTTAAGTTGTTTCCGTAAACTTCCTCGATTCTTCTATATTTTGTTCACGATATTCCTTATTTATTCAGAAAACTACGAAAAATAAAAATATCACGTCCTCTACGCACTAACTAGACAAACCGAAATCCAACAATCAAGTTCTTCCGTCATTATTTGATCGGAACATGATTTTTGTTAGAAAATTTGTTCACAGAGACAAAATATATTAAAATTAAAAAATGTACACATCATGATAAAACCAACACATTTTCTGCTACACTTAAACTTTAAAATATTTGATAAACATTAGTCATTAGATACAAAATATTTATAGCTATCAATAAATATATTTTCATATTTTTTTTTTTATTTTCATAACGAACGAAATTAATAATCGTATGACGATGTGTTTGTTTTTTTTTTTTTTTATTATGGTTAACACTTTTTAGTTTTTTAGCTGTAAATATATTCAAAAAGTTTTGTACAGTAACTTTTTAAATATATTTAATAATGCAATGAAGAACGATAATGGTTCTCATAGAATGATCAATTTTAAAATTTCCTTATTCACTGTCACGAAAACTGAAAAAAATATAAAAACGAAAAAATACGAAAACTTTTATTCCTAGATACATACACTCAAAACTGTTTTTCAAATGGAATACTAATGAACCACTCTCTATCCTATATCAAGTTGGTCAAATCGAAAGAAGTGACAGCATGTTTGTAATTTCGATATCTTAGAGTAGTTTAAATCGGAAAAAAAAATGTTGAAATTAAATATTTGTTTTGTATTTCAACGTGCACTTATTTTTTTATAATTTATACAATATGTTAACTCACTTCATACCTAGGAATAAAACTGTAAGAAGCGAATTTTTATATTATAATCGTTAATTCTTGTTTCGGGTTAAACGTTATGGTTCCATTCCTTAATAAGGTCGATAACTTTTAGAATACAAAAAACACATTATTCCCTAGTTTATAATGACACGCACGTCTCAGGTTCAACATAAATAGATAGCGTGTTTTATTATTTGTTCAGTATTACTTAATTTTAGAACCCTCTGTTAAAATATTCACAAAATTGTCATAACATTTTTTTTTATTAGATACGAACAAAATACTTTTGGCAGTCACATTATCGTTGTAGTTTAAGTACTGGTATGAACGATATTGTTCAAAATAGTTTTTGTTTAATCGTATTTCCACTGTTTTAGTTCATAACTCGAATGATTTAAAATCATAACATACGTGTACAAATTTATTGATTTTTCAAGAAATTTATTTCTGATCGAACGTAGATGTGGCAGTAGAAAATAAAAATTTGTATTTCATCAATGGAACTAGAGAAATAAGGACCGAGTCCACAATTCTTGTCGAAGATATAACGATCCAAAATAGACACGTTAAGGGATCGAAAACATGGATGTTACGAAAATAGTCAAAAAAAAACATTAATTGTATTAAAAAACATACTTAGAGTAGTTTAAAAAAAAAAAATGCAAAGACGTAAGATCAGATGTGTGGAAATTACGAAAAAATTGGTTACTACGGACGCTTTTTATCAGAACCCGAATATTGTGGAAGATATCATCAAGAAGTCCAATGAGTATTAAATACCATTTAAGGCAGAAACTAAGATGGGGAGATAGGGTGAAGGAAGATTTGGGAAAATTAAATCCAGTAGTGAATTGGAAGGAAATAGACATTAATAGATAGAGAAAGTCGTTTAGATATTATGGGCATAAATCACGAAACAAGAAAGACGTATCAATATAGTAACCTGTTTAGTTTAGCAAAATCAGTTGACAACCGAACTAAACCTATATAAATTTCGGCCAGAAGTTTATCTAAAACAGATTTCTATGCATTACTTATTTTCTAAAGCTTGTACGATTGCTTCGTCACCGTTGACATACGTCTTTGTCTGATTTGTAGCAGCGGCGTACCGGTATTCGGTTTTATCCTGTCAAGTAAATATTGTATCGTACAATTGTATCGATAAACGCGCATGAAATACGTCTGATTGGACAATAGCTCTTTGTGAGAAACGTAAGTCCGTTACCCCGGCTTACGGATGGAAATTACAATAGTGCGTTTTGAATATCTCGAACCGAAAGGGAAAGTAATATATTAAGACGTATGCACATGACCGAGTCTGCTGTGGGGTTATAGTTAAATACGATTTTGATGATGGGAGTACCTACAACTATTTAGGACTTTGTTGAAGTAATCAGACCGCCGCGTCGCTTTTTTCGGATAGTTGTAATAATACGAATATTAACGTCAAGCGTATTTTCTAAAGCAGTGTTGTGTGCGAGACGAGAGTAATCACATATCATTCGGTCCATTGTTATTATTGTTCTGTGTGCGTACGTCTAACAACGCAGGTTTCATAATCCATTAGAGTATAGAATTCGCGAGACGATTGTCGGTGTCCACTTGAACGTTCGTTCGTATTTTTCCAACAAGGGAGAGATTATTATCGTGCCGGTTTTCACAACTAATCTATAACATATTATATAGAATCGGAATAATTATTGTCTGTATATAAATATAAGTCATGCGCCGTGTGTACGTAATGGTGTAATTATCCGGTAAAAAGAAGGACTTAGAAAGTGGGCGGGGAGACATTCGTCCCGGGCACCGTATTTAGTGGGGTGTCGTAATTTTTCAATATAAATTCCATTCCGAAGTCGACGCTCGCCGAACGGGGTGATTTTAGTTTGTTTTAAAGCACAAAGTGTACAGTACGAAACGTGAAGTGTGCACCTTGAAATCTCCGTGTTTTACACGAAACGTATTCTTCGAGGAACGCCATAGAGCGCCACCAAGCAATTTAAATACGTGTCTGAATTTAAGTTTTCATAACTTACGGTTTAATACATAATAAAGCACAATTCAACGTGCCTATCCGTTCAGTATCGCTTGTAGAGAATTAAAGCGTGTACTTGTACCGACCATCGATATCTATCGCATCAGCCCGCTTATTACTACGCGGATACAGGAGTTACATCAAAATAACACGAGTGGAGAGTTCAATGACATATTGTTATTATTTTTTTAGGATAAACTGTTTTGAAATAATCTAAAAACCGTATGTTTAGGTACGCCATTACCACGGCTACATTGGCTACACTCGACCGCACCGCAATAACCAACATGTAGTATAGCCGTCCCGCGATTCATTTTTTATACGACGCGCAACCGATTCCGTCACGTCGCTCTTCTACAGAGTTCGGGCGGTTAACCATGCGATGTTAACATTCAAAGTGACGTACTGCCGAGATTCTGAGCGGAGCGCGGAGTGTATTGGTTTTGCTATTATTTTTATCTTTAATTTTTTTTTTTAATTTTTGTTTTTTTTTTACTGTGTACAAAAATTCTACTAAAACACCTTGCTCTGATATGTACGTGCGGCACCATTTCCGAAAGAAAATATTATCCAACCGGTAGTTTAAAGATGTTTGATTTTCCAAGCGGGTTTCATAATATCTGAAAAAACCCGTGATAAAACATAAGAAAAACGGAAAATTTACGAAAATAATGATTTTTTATTAGTTTCAATTTTATTATTTGTTGTAATTCAGTTAAAAATATTTCTAAAGACTTGAAATTTGAAGAAAAAACGTATTTTCTAGTTATTATAAAATTTTCAAAACATTAGGGCTAACTTTGAGCTTTTAAAAATACTTAAATTTTTCGAGTTTGGTATGATTTTTATTCGGTAGGTACTCTCTGGTAAAATTGTTAAACTTAACAGAAATGCTTGAAAATTTAAAAGAAGATTAATTAGAAAATTAAACTATGTGATGGATAAAAAAATCAAGTGTAATGTAGTATTAATACCAAATTTTGACGAAAATCGTTTATTTTTATGTTTAACATCCATAATTCACGAGTATTTTGGCACGTACGTCATTATTTTCCTGATAAGATACCTACTACCTAATACCTATGACAGGAATTCAAAAAACCAATGTCACCAACACCTAAGTATAGTTTTCTTTAGAAGATCAAACCAGAAAAAAATCAAAACCCGCGATTTTTACACGGTTTCCATCCATTAATCGAAACCCAATCAAAATTAAAGTCGATTATACTCGATTTTCATAATAAATGTATTTTTATAAAATTATTAAAACATCATAGGATATTATAAATAACTATATATTTATATAAACTGACATTTGAAAAAAACAAATTTTCCGGCAATGCTTCAGTATTGCTAAATTGAGTTTAGTTAACCTCGGATCAGATATAAATAAAAAAACTACAACAAATTTAAAAAAAAAAAAATCACAAATCGTTGGTAGTAAAAATAATGTACATTCTCCGCTCCACTCAAAATCTCAAAACAAAAAAATTATAATTTTAGTAGCCGGGGGTAATGACTTATTAGTCATGATACCTTTTGAATTATCAAGTAACTAATACATTTTTAATGTCTCGTTAAAATGTTACAATAATATAAATTAACGTTTTATCCTCTTTTTTTATTTTATATCCGGCACAATTGCCATACATATATTATATAATATTTTATTAACAATTCATCATATGTAAATTAATTGTTTGTTAAAAACAAAAATGTACATAATACATACAAATGCTATTTTGTTATTCAAATAGTATGCGTATAGCATGTAGAACGTAAACAAATAGCCAAATATTCAAATGTGCATTTGTATCAACTCGGATGAATTATAATTCGAAACGTGTATGCTTGATTATTTTAGATTTTATATTAATTTTGTGCGTGTGGCCATTATTTTCGGACGGTCGATATTAATGAAGTAGGAAAGCGATTCCGTCGTATATTAATTTAGTCATAATAGAGTTTTCATCAGAAAAAATCACCTGGAAATCCGTCGAAATATGTTAGAACTTAATAAGTTTAGTATCTAACGATAATCAAATACCAGTTAATTAATTATACATATATGATTTATTGGGTCGCGACCACCCACTGGCGAGTTCCTAGTTAATTTTTGGCGGGTCGCGAAAATTGTTTTGAATTACAAAGACTCCGAGAAATTGATGTATTTAGATTCTTAGTGTAATGAAATAATTTATTTACAATAATGATGTTCTTTTTATAATTATTATTTGTTTTATCTGTTAACAAATTTTCTACCGCCAATTTTATTCCGATTTTCAATGGTCATACTTTCTCCGAAAAGAAATCTGAATGAGGAGGTCTTTAAAGAGGTAAGTTCATGATTTTTCCGGCTGTTTTCATGAACTACTATTTTAAAAGTTGAACCCACATGGTCACGATACATTTTCGAGGGAAAATTTAGGTCGTGGTTCAAAAAAAAATTGAAAACTACTGTTATAATACATTAACAAATCGGAATATTTGAGTTCAATAATCATTTTAAACCCTTTCAAAGTTTAAAATAAATTTTAAAAATTTTGTTTTTTATCAAGAAAGTCTTAATATATAATTTGTCATTGATGACGGTAACTATTTCGATAATTCGTTTTAAGTTTTAAGTATTAATGCTATTTGAAATATTGACTATACCACAACAACATTTGAAACAAAAAGACTAAAATTCTCAAAACTCTCAGCTAAAATAAATTATTTAATTTAGCAAATATACATTTAATTTGCATTATAATAAAGAATATTCGTTTTACTGCGGTCGTAAGCAGGACGATCGTGAATAGTTTATCCTCCAAACGGCAAACGTAATCAGCGACCCGTTTATAGGAATAATACGAAATTTCAACACCAAAATTAATCTAAACTTAACATGTAGTCGAAATATGTGATACGTATAACTAATTGAACAGCTAAAAGACGTCTCACTCCCTCTCTCCCCCAATCCCCGTAAAAAATAAAGTTGAATAGAAATAACGGTAAAGTAACATTTTAAAGCTATTTTTTTTTTTTATTTTTTTTTTTTTGTACACGTTCTAAATGACAAATTCCATAAAGTCCGTATGTTTTCCGATAGAAAAGGAATATCTCACGCCACGTCAATCACCGTGTACATTATTATTTAATGACATTTTTATTTTCGGCCATTAAAACCCATGGTTTCAATATAAGACTTCATCGCATATTGTAATAATATCTGCACATTGTACATTCGTTATATTATTACGCGTAATGCATTTCGTATAAATTGTTTTTACGAGCAAACGTGTAGAACTTCTTCGAAGCTCAACGTTACAGCGCAGTTACACCGAGTCCGTCGAAAACAATTTTTCGAACACAACGTTATTCATCGTTTTCTCGAAATTCAACGAAATAAACTAATAAAAAAACACCCCAGCTCGCGCCGAGGCGAGAGATCAAAACTTACAACGATTATTGTACCCCTCGCACGTATTCGCGCATAATTCGTATAATTTAAATTAATCTAAATAAAATATTTCACGAAATAATCAACTACGCAGTTTGCGTTGTCTCGATAAATTCCCACGGTTCTCAAAAGATCTAACGCGGATACGGTTTTTAAATTTCAATTTTTCTTTTCTATTTTTCTATTTATATTTCCAATGCGTTTGCAATGGATAAATTCGGTTCGGATATTTTAATGCATACACTCGTAGGTACTGATAACGAACGTAGATTCACAATGCAGCATCGTAAACTAGACTCGGTTTCAGTTATACAAATATCGTTGTAAATCGTACGGCGCTTTAATAATTATAATAAAGGCTTTTATAGAACCGAGTAGATTTCGCGGCTTGGCGCTTTTTTCGTTAATTCAATAACAATTATAACAGCGTTGCGGCACGTGTTATGTTTTCGATTCGTCCGTGTACCTGTGTGTATAGTAAAACTCCGATCAAAAACTATAAAATATACGCAATCGCGTATTAAACGGCTTAAGTGTTCCTCGAGCCATTTACCTCCATTAAGTTTCGCTTAAATCACGGTGGACGATGGCATCGTAAAGAGAGCCAGGTATGCGTAATAATAAACGTTCGCGGATAAAGCTTCGGGATTTTAAGCCAATCGCACGGCGCGCCGTACAGGCAATATTGATACGCACAGGTCATGGGGGTCTATGCGCAGCGTTTTGTTGACCAATAGCGGTTATTAAAATATCCACAGAAGATTATTAGGAACAATATGGCTAGACTAATGTATGTCTAGATGAAGATAAAATCCAGATAACGATTTTATTATTTTGTTTCTATGTTATCATCAATCAAGATAAATAAGAAAATGTATTTATAATTAAAAAATTAAAAACGGTGCGTATAGTTCTTAAAACCATTAACCAGTTTGGTAGGTACAAATTTAGACGCGATTCTGTACAAATTTAGCATTTTATCTAGGCTTTATTCCTATTATGAAACTAGCTGTCTCATACCCGGCGGTCCCGTGCCAATTCGTATAATTATTATTTCACCAATGTTCATTTTTGGTTTTGGCCGTGTTAGAATTGAATGAAAACCTTCGGCGGACTAAATGTGTTTCGTTATGAAATTTGAATTAAAGTAAATAATAATAATAATAATATTTATAATAGTTTACTAAACCGTGGAGACCCTTGAATAAATAAAAATCGTATATAAATAAAAAAAAGTCTGGTTAGTTACACCATTTACAAGTCAAGAACAACTGGAACGATTTTGATGATCGCGTGCTATTTTCTGACCAATTTCTAATAATAATTAATCACCATTTATTTTTCAGCCCTGTTACCGGGATAACACAAATATACGAAAAAAATTGCATTTATTATATTATAATCTAAATTAATCGGTATTGCTCGTGTGTACATATACGAGAAAATAATAAAATCACGATTAAAAATAGTGGGTGAAGGTAGTAGGATAAAAAATATTATACGTACTATTCTCAGACCTATCAAATATACACTACAAATTTCATGAAAATCGTCCAAGCCGTTTCGGCGAGGTTTCATAACAAACACTGTGACCGGAGAATTTTACATGTGGATATATTATAGGATATACTTTATAAATATCTAAATTATAATTTACAAAACTTCATTCATAGGTGTATTTTATACAATGGATATTTTATTAATGATCGGTTATCGTATTTATCGTTTATTTAGATAAAATAAAAATTCATGTAGACAATACTGGTGTCCGTATAGTAAATTATAACAGTACGATTTATGAAAAATTAAAAATATAAACCACGGTTGTTGTTATTGAAACTGAACCATTTTTAATGTACAATATTGAAGTAGGTATTCACAGCCGATATTATTTAATAAGCATAAATGATATTTGAAATCGCAGTAGCATATTAAATGTGTATTATGAGACTACTCCGTAGGTAAAAAAAAAAAAAAAAAATGAATAAATAAAACTATACAATAATAATTCATATTGAAACAATTATAATGCTCCGTGGTAGAACGGCTTTTTAAAGTGGTACACACAGTGGTAGGGAAGTAGGAGGTCATATTTCCTACCCCCCCGCCACCATTGGTTTTTATGTTTTTAACATAACAACTACAACGGTTATTTATTTTGTAGGCACTTTAATGTTGAATCGATCTGTATATTTCTGATCAATTGCAAGGAAATGCTTGAAATATATTGAATAAATATTGGTTTATATATTTATTTGTGATTAGAGAATATTTTTGCTACGTCCATTTTCTTCGGAAAAAAATATAATACATTTCATGTATTAAACAATTGAAATGAAAACGACTCGGATCATTTTTTTTTTTTTTTTTTTTTTAAGAGAAATTTTGGTCGTTCTAAAAAAAACAGATACTGAAAAAAAAAATTAATAAATTGACAACATATTTTTATCGCGTTTCTCGTGCGTGATATTTTTGGTGATTTTTTTTACAACCTACCTATTATTATTATTATTTTTTTTTATGTTTTCATACAAAATATATTAAAATGTTGATAGGTATTACATAACTTTTGTTGATATTTCACATAATAAAATAAATACCTACCAAAAAATAATGTTTTTTGTTTTTTCATAAATGTTAGAGTAGTTTCGTAGACCCCGCGGGTTCTCTTGTAATGTATAAAATAAAAGCAGTTCCCTCTTTGCAACTCAACGGATTTTAGTTTTTTTTTTAATATAAATATTCCATTGTTACGCAAATTGAAATTATTCTTAATGAATAACAACTATAGAATAATAGAATGGATGACATTATGTTATGACACATAAAAAAAAATGTTAACTTTAATATTAAAGTAAAGTAAATATGTATTTCGGTAATAGAATTACCGTAATCTTCAGTGCAATAACAACGAACTCTTATAGTGTATTAAAAAATAATCTAATACATTGAAATTGCACAATATTATAGGACAGGTTATAGAATAAACTCCGAGGATAATATAATAATAAGTATATAATCGACTAGTACACACGACGATCCTTTTATCGTTGAACACTCGTTATTTCGAAAAGTAATGATTTCTTTCCAAAATTTTAAATACATGCCTTATATTTTACACAATTATGAAAAACATTTACTTTTTCGCCCTTGTGTTTACCGAATTAATCGCAATAGAATTTTGATTTTCAAGTAGCAACACCGAACTCCCCCCCCCTTTATTTCAACTCAGATTTAATTAATTTTAAAATGTTGACAGACATAATAATAATATGGAATTTACCGTTTTTGAGTTATAACAGTTTAAAGTATAGATTGGAATAGTAGAGAAGTGTTATGAATTATTTATCATCCAATGATAGATTATATACGAAATTAAATGTTTACTCTACTCCCCAGGTCCAAACGGTCTTAGTGTTATGCCCATGAAAATGTTCGGTGAATATCATCTATTAAAATCTGTGACCAAAAGACGGAAGGACTGTCATTTAAAAATCAAAAGTCTTGATAGTGATTTACAAAAAATATAAAACAAAAGGGCAAAAAGGAAAAAGTTGTGTACGATTGTGGAAAATACAATTATTATACATTGAATTAATTGATTATTTAACGTGCCTATGTAAGGAACCGATATATTTTAACATTTGGCAAACTTAAAATTAATTTTATTGTTTGTTTGTTTTAATCATACAAACGTATGAGTATTATAATTTTTTATCGTATACACTTAAAAATAAGTAATTCATTCATATATGTATTTTTTTATTAGTTAAAAAACTTTAAATCATATTTATTATTTTTTTTTTTTTGTATTATCAGACATTTTCGGTTTATTAGATTTACATTAACTAAAATGTATTACAATATAAATTATATTATATCGAATTCTTACTGTGCGGTAAATGTATTGTAAAAGTTTAATATATAACATAATATAATTTTCAATTGAAAACGGGATTTAAATTATATTTTTTTATTCCACATTCGAAAAAAATTTACAAAGGATTCCGATCGAAACGGATCTTTTTAAATGCAATCTCCGTGCTTTGAAATCCGTTATAATATGATGACAATATGCCTACACAGATTTATTATAACCGTGCGCAGTGGATTCATTTCGAATTGACGTATATTGAAAATAAACTTAAAATACTTGACATTATAAGCATAACATCACAACCAATAACAGATACTTAAAGCTCACTGATTAAATCGTGTGCGCTTCCTACGTCAGACTATTCCCTTTGAGTAGTACTTTAAATCGTTGTCAAATTGTTTTAGATCCAATTTTATGGTACAGCGAACGAGTCGACCTCATTTTAGTCACATAGCGTCTGGTCGTGGAATTTTTTAATTACATTTTCCCGATCCTGTTCGTTAAGTATCGCGGGCTCGCTCGTTATGAATTTGACTATTTCTCACATGAACCCAAGAGAGATTTTACACTCATAATACTATAATGAGTATATGAATTTATAATTTCTACGGTTTGAAGAATTCCTCATTTTAGCTTTTGATGGAGTCCTTCTCCGTAGATAATTAAAAATTTAAACAATATATATTATTTAATGTCTATCGGCAAATTGTACAATGATTTAATAACAGTAACTCATCATTTGCAAACAAAACCACACGAAAAATGTTGTTCGATTTGTTGCCAACAGTTTTATTATATTTTTATATAAAATTGTTAAACGATTTATAAAAATAATGAAACAAATAAATACATAAATATTAAAAATATTTCGTTAAACTGTAATGTCTACTACGATACTCCGTGAGGAATCGAATCAAATACTCTTTGTCCGTCTAAAATATACAAACAGCATGGAAAATTATTTTCCTTTTTTTTCCATTATAACGCTTAAGTATAATTTTATTTTAAGACAAAATTAATATATTAATATTCGTTTCGTACCATGGTAAAAATTCTCATCAAATTTATGATTTTTTACATTTTGTGTTAAAACGTATCAGTGATGTTAGAGAATAGGTTACCTAATTTTGTTTTTTACCGAACGCATATCAAGTAATTTCAAATTTTATGAAAATCAAAAACATGTGTGCCAAACTTATAGTGTAAGTGTGTTAAATTTTTAATTTTTTTTTTTTTTTTTTTGGTATGCGAAAGTTTTTTTCCCCCACTTAATTAGTTTCTGGAACTACACCTGGCCCTCAATCAACATAATCCTTAATTGTTATAATGTTCTGTTCATACGAAAAGCAACGAAATCAAAACTGATTGGCAAACAACAAAGGCCTTTATTAAAAACGTGATTTAATACGTACGTGAACACGGAATCCGTGTACTCGTGAATAAGAAATGTGTACTCACGTGTCCACAACACACATGAAATGTAATTACATGTTTACACGAACTTTTTAACCACGCGGTTATATGAATTTGATGTGCTCATAGAATAATATTTGTAAAATATGTAACATTAAATGTTAACCTTTGCGATAGTAAATATGTAAACCGGGAAAAAAAAAAACGAGATCGGCTATAATATTGTAACCGCGCGATGCCAAATAACGTTTATTATCTATAAATTATACGCAGTTATCAAAATAATTATAATAATTATTCCGCCGTAAAGAAATGACGTAAAAATGCATCATTATAATTTTATATTTTTGAGTTACAGAGTCAACAAGAAGGCGATGTTTTTAACAATAACAATGGTTTAAATAAATAACTATAATGTAGTATATTTTTTGACCAGACATAATGATTGTTTGTAGTTATTAGTTTTCTGTTGTTTTGCCGTCGCTAGCGGGAAACGCACGTTGATACGATGAGTAGCTATAGGTTTCTAACAAGAAAGGTCAAATTTTCGTATTCACGTGTACACAGCAAGCCAAAAATTGTACATTATTTTTTTTAAATAAATAACTCGATACAAATGCGAATGACGGAAACAATAAGTTTATTTCCATCGTAGCTACTTATTTCTACGGTTCCAGTACAATACAGATGTAATATTACAACAACGAGTGACTGTTTTATCATATAGTGATTGAAATCTAATCAATTATACATTATATACTAGCGCGATTTCGTCACGGCGTTCTTTATAAACAAATTAATATCAACAGTAAATTTGTAATTTGTATATAATACTCGTATATCATCCGTGTAATTGAGGGGAAACAGAAACAAATAAAAAGAAAAATCTTTATTAGTATAATGGCGGCGGGTTCATCCACTGTTATAGGTGGAAAGTTGGACAGGTAAGATATAAACGGAAATTTAATGTGTATCTATACACAACGATTTACCATTGCTAATGAAAAAACGATTCTGAGCGGCGATCGGTTGATAGTGTTGCTTTGTCAACAATATATATGTCAATATACTAATACAATTACAAATGCATTAAACGTTTTCTTTAATAATATTTGTTTAGTTATTTTTCCGTTATTTTTCCGTTTTTTCTAGGTTTTTCTCTAGTGTTCCATGTTTTTTACCGGGTTTTCCAATTTATCGGAAAAACTCCTTGGGAAATCAAAAAATAACCTCACTAAAGAACCTCTCCTGTCCTATTTTCTTTCAAAAAAAGTGCTATAATTGTAAGTCGGAAAAAAATTGCTGATAAAAGTTGTTCAAAAAAAAAACTATAAACCCAATACATTCCTCCTCCATTTATATTAAAAATGTATAAAAGAAAATAACTGTCACCGAACCTGTAAAATAAAAATATTGCAGTAGACACGTTCCAAAAGTGTTGGGAATTTGACATTTGTCTGAACATATATCTTTCGGTACTCTCTATCCCTACCCTCCTGAAAACGCCATTTTAATTCAAGCAACAATTTAACTTTACATAATATAATAAATAATAATAATATGAATATTAATATATGAGCCAGTGATTTTCAATAGCCAAAATATCTATTTTCTAAAAAAATGAGATAAAAAAAAAATTCAATTTTCATAACCAAAGCCCGAAATTTAAGTGTTTTTTTTTTTTTAAACAGGCCACGTATTTTGCCAGACGATCCTAAAGACGGTAAGGCGAAAACTTATTTGGAATGCAACTTGGGCGAAGTAACGTTACACCATCATGTGCTTCACAAAGAATCGCTGCCGGTCGGCCAACTATACACGACTGCGGCGGGCCGACAGGAACTGTGTAATACGAATAAAAACGTGCCAGATCTGTTGGACACATTAGTGCCCGCCAAGAATCGGCGAATTTCTCAAACACTACCCAGGTCAGTTGACGTTTTTCTAATTATTTACCGATTCGAATATCTACCTGTTGTACTAATAAAAAGATCAAATAAAATTAGTTTTTTTTTCACTCGAAAATATAATCCGGATCAATATTAAGTTCAGGCATAATATTAAACTTGGGTATGCAAACGCACTATGTGCAAGATAGCTAATACGATATATATGTTTGTTTTTTCTTTATCAACAGGTCGACTTACAGCTCGAACAATAGAAGAAATACCGTGTACGTGCCGAAAGCGTCTGAAAGTCAATCTCCTTTGTTGTTGGGCAGTCGCAGCAGTGGCGGCAGCAACACCAGTCGAAGCCAATTATCCTTCGACTCGTCGGTATCGCCGGATCGTCCGAGGTACGAAAAATATGCAATAAAACAGAAGGGCAAAGATTTTTTTTTTGAAACATACTGTATAAAATTCCACGCACCCCGAACGCTCGAAAAACCTGGAAAATCTACGCATAATATCCGTACTCTTATAAAATTAATGCGGATTTCTAATGATCACCGACTTATAAAATAGTCACATCTTAGTCAGTAATCACTTATATGCGTACATCGAAAATTGTCGATGATGCATACTGCAATATGCATTGACGTTCGAAATAGATCGATTTTTTTTTTTTTTATACATATACGTGCCTGCGATAGATTTCTGTAAAATTGATCTGACGATTGATTGAATGAGGTGTTTTGAAAATGTATTATAAAAATAAAAAGGAAAATCGTACGATCACTTCGGTTGTTTTATTTTGTCAAAAATAACAACATATTTTTGTTTAATACGATAATAATATTATAAATTATACTTCACGAGACGGTGTATACGGTGTATACAGCAGCCGCCTCATTGTTCGCATAATTATAATTTATTTTCTAATTAATTTATAAGCGCACGCGGTTAATTATTATCGTGAAAACTTTTTGATAATTTACCAACTTAAAACCGAAATGTTTCGTAAACGCGAATTTCGATTTATTAAATATTTAAAATCTAGAAAACTTAAATCGCCTAAATTAGTGATTCTGACGATTCAATATTAACGCTCTCGTTAAAATATTTATTTACGTGCAATTATCCCGATATAATCTGATTTTCCGTTGCCTAACCATTATGCGCGGGTTCAATATTCCGCATGCGCACATTTCGATTTACACAAGCGATAGCGGAGCATCAGAAACTGCTAATGCACGAGTGTTTATGTTTAGTTTGCATGATGCTCTATGAATAATAAAAATAAAATTTAGTTTTAAACGATCGTTAAATACAGACACGAATTAATTTTTATTGTGCAATAATATATTTATAGGTGTGTTCGAAAAAAAATACGAATAAAACCATTTCTATTTATTTGCGTATGAATAAAAAATGAGTTTTTTTTTTATATATATACTCAAAATTAAAAATCTATTGAAATCTTGAATTTAATTCTCAATATATCAAGATATAATTATCGAATAAATAATACACGATGAATGATAATAAGGATAGTGAAAAAAAAAATCCCGGGTGATTTGTATACGAGACAAATTTAATTATTCAAAACGGTTATAAGGCTATGTTGTTCTCAAACAATTTTAAACTAATTAAAATTTCATGCTAACCTTGTATTAAATTGAATTTTAATAGTATTAAGAAAAAACGTAATACCTATACTGTTCATTAAATTGGTATGGTTCAAGTAAGAAGGAACGAAGAGGGACGGAGTTCGTTTTATTTAAGGTGAAATCATAAGTCCCGTTTAGCTTAAGTGTTCGATGTCTGAGGTGACGCTTTAGTTATTGGAATTGAGACATTTTGAATGTATTTTTTAAAGCCAATAATCGTTTTTCAATATCCGAGTAGGTGTGTTAAAACTTAATACCGTTTCGAACAAATACGATATTATTTTAAGTGTGCGCCTAATAATAATAATAATAAAAAAAAAAGGCGTTAAAATATACAGGTACGCAGTATTAATTTTATTGCAGCGGAAATTGAATTGCGATAGCAATAGCGTATTTAATAGGCAAGATTAGAGTGATGTATATATCCATTGATATTATTTTAGATACCTATTATTGATACGTCCGACTAGTTTTTAAATTAAAATTTCTTTACTTTTTATTCAGAAAAACCAAAAGTGTATTGTTATTGTTAATATATTATCAACGAACTCTGAATACTTTTTTTTTTTTAACAAAACCTATCCGGAGTATTATAAAATACGAAGGAGGTTAGACAGTTAGGTTAAATCCTAAATATGAAATAACCTAATAACAATAAATTACAAATACCTGTGCTATAAAATAGTAATTTGATCAAAATGATAATTTTAAAGCAGAACGAATGGAAAACAACATACAACAGTTTATATTTTACAAATTGATAATTTTTTTAACTTAGATTTTATACAATGTAACACAATTTCCAAATTCGATTTGAATTCCAAGAATTTCCCTTCTTGGAATAATCCCGAAAACGCCACTGCGCGGTGACGTAATAAACGAGAATTCGTCCGATTTCTCTCGCTCGTTATTCTCGGCAAAATCATTCGGAACTGATAACGAAATTTAGTTGAAATATCTGTTGGTAGGTTTATTATAACAGGTCATCACATATGTTTTAACGTCTCCATTATGTGAGTACTACACTGTCATTTCGATTCATTTATTTATTTATAATTTATCTGTATAGACTACGCGTATAATTATAAACCAAGAGCCGGTTTTTTATTATTTTTTTATTATTTTTATATTAACTGTAACAGGATCCACCGAAAATACCATGTTTGCCTAATTGGAAGTTAATTAAAACTGTCTTTTCGATTTTTATTGTAACATTACACGGTCAATGCGATTATAGGAGACTATATTATTTCAACGAAACGTTGAAATTATATTTTTTAACATCTAGCGAATCCCGACTTTTCCGGGGCATCGCGATTTTTTTTTTTTTTTTTGATAATCATAACTATAACATTGGGGACAACAATTTATATTTTATCATTAATTAGTTTCATCGGTGGTTCAGAATTGGCTATAATAATATTTAAGGATTTCATAAATATTTCAATTAAGAAATAAAAGAACACACTTGAGCAACAGAGCTCCGTCACTAAAATTAAATATTCCCTACACTATTTTGTATAAAGAAATAATCTTTATAAAAACAATTTTGTAATATAACAAATACTACATTTTTATAATATGGCTGTACTGTTTCTATAAAAAAAAAAAAACAAAACAAAAATGGTGAAATTTAAGCATCAAAGTTGTAGGAGCAAGATTTGAAAATTAAAAACTCAAAAAACACATCATTGATACTTACCTCGTGGATTTACAAAATGCTGTCCCCTTGGCTTCATTTGAGATGGTTGTTTTCTCTAGAAGTGTTCAAATTTAATAAAAATAACACACTCTTCCTACAACAACATTTCGAAATTCACAATGAAATTCAACTCGACTCTTATCACTTCGATTTTCCGATAAAACTACTCTAGTTTCCGAGTTTGAACTCACTCAGTCAAGAGGAAGTCGACCCGGTAGAGGCTGCAATAGTCTGTAGGATTTTATCGCAAATTTCGTGAGAATTTTTATTCCTGCAAACATATTTTGTTCAGACTCGCTAAATGTCTCCGGAACGGATAAATTCCTTCATAACCGGAAATGGTCAATGTTAAAAACTACGGAAGGAAACGAGAACGAGTTTGTTAGTTAGTAACTGCAACGATAACTTTCCGTAACGGCAAACACATTATCACGGACATATTCGGGTCAAAGCAAAAGGATCAGCGATATTAAAATCCCGTACTCGCGGTTGCGCTGCGAACTTTACAATATGAAAAGGGTATATATGTATAATTTTGATAACCGGACGCACTCAGGCTACGCCCGTATCCAGACACTTCCGACTGTTTCCCGTAATGACATATGGATAACGTTTTAGAGTACCTACGCCCGTAAAAGTGAGGTGCCTATACAATTGTTCGTATTGAAATAAAAATAGCTATTATAATTATATTATAACAAATAGGTAGCGGTACGACTAGGGGGGGGATATAGGAGGTTTTATGAATAGTCGACGTTTTTTTCTTTACGAATTCGACGCGAATTCCTACATATCCGACACGTTTAATGCTATGTAAATTCGCATAATATGTGTCGCTATAACATAGATTTTCATATAATTTTAAGTACGCGAACGTCGTGTATATTTCGTAATTTACCATCCCAAATACCTGCCCGGAAATTCATTTAAAATTCCCTAACCCCCGATCCCCGAAAAATAAATGCTAGTTACGTCAGCGCGCACAGACCACGCGAGCTCGTCGATATTCAACGCGAGCCCCGTTCACGCCCGCAAACAAATAATTATTTTCGATTTTAATTGAATTTGTATTTTCACGCGATACATTGGCACGTAGCGCGTATTATATTTTATTAATATTGTAATTCGTCTAATATTCGTCTAACACATTGTGCGTGGGACGTGTTTATTCGTTTGAACGGTTTGTTGACCGTAATCTCGTAATTATAGCAATTATTCCTGTTAACAATGATATTTTTAAAATCCAATAAACGTAATTGGTTTTTTTTTTTTTTTTTGTCTCCGGCGGGTGTAATTCTTCTTGGTGTATACATGAATGGGTTCTGGCGGTTTCTTGTCAATTCGGATTAATTTGATTTTTTTTAATTTCCGTAAACGACAGTGTACCTGTACAGTATACGCGTTAGGGCGCCGTGTGTTTTATATATGCACAATAAAAAGCATTCAATTTGACTAAATATAGTAGTGGCTCGACCCCATTTATGAATGATTAATAATATGTCACGATAAAAAAAAAAATATTATCATAGGTAGGTATCTGCATACTGTATGAATTATTTTACGAGTATTTTATAATTATCAATTTTGTACTTTCGAACCACAGTTGTGCGTACACAGGGTTTTCAGGAAGATATCCATCGCGATATTTCCTGAAATATTGTTTTTTAATTACATTTTTATGTTTTGGTAAAAAATTTGGAAACTGTCATTTTATGGAGTTTATTCAGATGAGTTTCAACTTGTAATTTGTAATATAGTTTGTTTTAGGTCATAGAAAAATAGTGTACCGTTATTAAACATTTTATATGGCAGTGTTTTGAAATCATCTCATCTTTTCTTTTGATAAATTTTGTTTGTCAAAACACTATTTTTTTGCATTCTATAAACAAAATATTAAAAAACAACGAAGTAAATGAAAATTAAAAGTCGGAACGACAAAATTAGAATAACCCTTGCAAAAATGGCTATCACTGATTCAAATATTTTAATTATTGTGAAAATTGAATTTAAATATGAATACTTGTAGACTTATAGTCTGCGATTCATAAAAAAAAAAAAACCAAAATAGAGACACTCTGTATAGTATCGAGTGTAGACACAATTCATCAACAATAATACACTCGTTTGAAATAATAATGCTATTATAAGGACTATGCAGGGATATTCTATCGGGAGATATATTTTCGGGGGATATTTATTTAATGGGTGCATTAATTAAGCACTGGCGCGTTTTCCGTCAGTAAAATTACGGACGCACTAGGAAATTAGGGATAGTATAATAATTATTGCAGATGCACATGTAGGCTATATTATATAATAATATATGAAAATGGCTTATGATAAATATATGTGTGTGTGTGTGTATCCAGTGAAATTTTATGAACACGCAAATGTGGAGTCTCGACATTTCAAAGCACGTCATCGGGCTTTTTGTTTGTAATTATTATACGACACTTAAAAAAAAAAAAAAAACAGAAAAATATAAATCAGTCGGAAATCGCAATACGTATTCATGTACAATCGATACAGTAAATATAATGTCAGCTAACACTAAATAGTAATCGTGGTTTTTATTTTCGAAAAATCCCGCAAAGAGATTTTTTCGCAGTTTTCTTTTTCGGTAGTTCGATTCCGAACGTCGCGCGTCGTGGCCGTTTAAACAAACGAACGATTTGTAATATTTGTATTTTTCCAGACTTTCCGGTCTTCTATGTTTAGTATTTCCGCCGTTTACTTTATTCCTATAAAGCCTCTGATTTGACTGTAAATGGTTTTTTTCGTCGCATAGAACACATAATAATACGGCCCGATGTACCGGTAAGACCGATCGGATCAACAATATTCATCGCCTTCTTTTTCTTATTCCGGTCTTAAATTTAGTTTTACTACGGCTTTACACCCTATCAAAACTCGAATACTTTAACTCCCGATAATTTGTTATTACCACGGCTTTGAAAATTGTTGGTGTACTGTCCGTCTTCGTCTTCTAATTTTTTTTTTTTTTTTACGTATAAATTGTTCGTCAAATGTGTCGTTATTCTGTAGTTATTCTTGAAACGTTTTCATTTGTTTACCAGCTCTTACCTAACCAAACTTAATCTACTCTGGCACACCTTGATCATCCTACAATAACTCGAATGCACCTTCTAAATATATATATGTCTTACAAATTGTTCTCGATTCCAGTAGGTAAGACTGGCATTATAGGCATGATAATAACCATCAAATTGTAATTTATTGTATTAAGTGAAAGGACGTTTTGTAGAGTTCAACAACTGTATAAGTACAGGCGTCATTAAAAAAGACCATTGAAGAGCGCCATTAATATGTGTGAAATGTGTCTGCGATTAGTATATCAGGTACCCACCAAGGTTACGGTTGAAGTGGCGGCCGTCGATGGCTTCACATAATATGAATTTTCGTATAATACTCTCCGATTACAGTGTAATTTCGGGACTTAAATATTTATCGACGGCGCGCGTTCAAAACATTGATTATAATATTTATATATATGAAATGTCAGTGTGTAGATATCAGTTCGTAGTTCACGCGAAAATGGAAAAGACACACTTATTATACATGCTGAACGTGTACACTGTACATCAATGGACGAAATGTCAAAAATTACAATTTGGTATTATAAAAATTTTCAGTCTTACGCACAATTGACTATTTTTAAAACTATATTATATTAGTTCAACGTACGAAATCGAATTAGTTTTAAACAACTATTTTTTTTTTTCGAACTTTCCACGACGACTATTGTTTCGTATTGTATCCGTTAAGTGTACGCATTATACGTTAATTATATTGCCGCTACTTTAAAAGACTTTTAGAAACTCCCTCTGGACCAAACAAACTGAAACTTCGAAATTAAAAGTGTTTTATTTTTTATTTTTTATTTTTTTGTATAGACGGATTGAAGTGATAACATTTTTGTTGAATTGTGTTCAGTTCGTGTTATTGTGAGAGCAGGGGATTTTTTTATAACTTAATACACCCCTACAGATCCTCCTAAATGATTTCAGAGGGACGAAATTCTATACATGCACGGTGCAAGTATCGATAAAATGTTTTTTGAAAAGTCTCAACTTTCAACACCCTCCGCAATCATTTATATGGTCAAATTTCAAGGTTTCACAAGAAATACCGGGTTTTCAATACCCATACAGGCTCATCAAAGTAAACAACGGGGTTAAAATTTGTATACATAAATACCATTGCAAGTTGTCGAGGATGTGCTTTTAGAAGGTTTAAACTTCCCTCCCACTTTCTGCAGTTTTTACGCTAGCAAAAATCACGAGAACTATTTTACCCGTTTTGATGAAACGGTTTGCATTCGTTTCCTTAACATTGTCGGAAGTCTATAGAATACTCTTTAAAAGAGTTGTATAAGGAGGAGAAGGGAGTAGTGGATGGTCAATGCGCGTGTTTCTAGTGAAATTACTACAAATTCAATTGAATCAAGTATACGGTTAAGTTTACAATATATTATTGACGTTCGCGAACCACTCTGGCCGCCATAACCGATTTTATATCGTATTCAATGAAAGTATTATAGTTGAGTATGGTATACTTACCTAACCTACACTATTGTCTATTAGTACGTGACGTATAATGCGTTACGAGTCGAATTTAACGCAGTGCAAATCGTTTACTAAATTCGTATACACGCGTATCCCGTTTAAATAACAACTGTAAGACATTTAATACGACGACGGGCCTATACCAGGTAGTGATTATAATGTATTAACGGAGGAAACGCGTAAACAACGCGCAAAAATGTCCGTGCGTCGACATTTAAATAACACCACGGGTAAATGCCGTGTTTACACCGTCGGTCGGGTTAGCTTTAAAAGCGGCTCCGCAAAACTTACCCGAACGTAAATATGTTTTCCGAGGACTGTTTGATTTTGAAAATTCAACAAAGCAAACTTTATCGTTACGTCTTGAGGGTCGACGTAAGCATATTTTATAAACTTTTCGTTGTTATTTCGACCGCGCGGGTACTCGATGCCGTAATACCATACGCGAAATCGAGGGGAACAAAAGCACGTTTCGTCGTGTCTCGTTCTCGTCGAAACACTAAAAAACTACCTAAATTCTTCTGCCACACTAAAAAAAAATATATATATATATAAAGCTGTCGTGCGGCGCGTAATTTGTACGTCGCCTGCAGGCATTTCAAAATAGCAATTTATTTATTTATTGCCCGTGGCAAATTTTTCCGAAAAATGAGAAAAAGCCAATGCCGTGCGTCTATATTTTTGATTTTGACGAAAACGAGAAGAGGCAATTCTGAAACTAAACAAAACTAATGTTTGTCCCTTAATAGAGTTTACAAGAACCGCGGATATCATATTAAGTTTTTTTTACGAATAAAACAATATTTCGAATGTAGGTACCGGGGAAAATATTTCACAAAATCAGAAATATTATAAACATTCTTATTGCCATTAATAGCTTTTTATAAAGAACAAAACAGAATATTAGCTAGTACAAAAGTTGAAGGTTAGTTTACACATACTATTTTTTCTGATAACTATATAGTAACTTAGTTGTTTCTAAAACGTAATTCATAATTTTTTGCTCATTAAAAAAAATAATAATATGTTATTTGTATTTATATTTCGATGTAAGATGTGTAAGTTTACGTGAACGTAACAAGCCGGGCATGCCGTCAATGGGTTACGCGCCCGAGTCTTGTATAATACAGCGTTAAAAAAAAAAATATTGTGGTACAAAACACGTTTAAATTGTGTGTGTTTACGGGTTATTTTTAAAAAAAGCAACTTTTAACTTAAGTTATTATTTTCCTGATAGTTTCCAAATTAGCTTAAATATCCACTCAAATATTCGTTTATAAATTAAAATTAATTTTAACTTTTCTTAGTTATGTATTTATTTTTTTGAAGGTAACTAAATTTTTAACTAATCTAAAACATTGGCTTACTCGTCCAGCTTTGATTAATAATTTATCGTCAATTATAATTAAACCACCTCTACAATTGAATCAGTGTTTGATTATACAGGATGATCAATCTATCATAAGACGCTCATTATCTCGGGAAATATGCATCTCTTTTGGATATTTTTTTTTTGAAAAAATTATCAACCAAATATTTCTAAAATGTTACAGTATAATTTTTTTTTTTTTTGATCGTCCTTATTTTTGGGCGTGAAACAAATAGCTCAAACATATTTGATTTTCAAAAGGCAACCTATAAAAACATTCCATAAATAAATGTAATATTAGTTAAAATAAATTTCAACAAAAAGTGCATACTTTCCGAGATAATGTATGATATACAGTGTCTTATAATACATTGATCACCATATATATTCATAAATATATATATTAGGGTGGTCCTTATTATTTTTTTTTTAAATTTGATCGGGCTACCCATGGAATCTGTTTGAACCCATAAAAAAATGAATTTTTTAAAGTTTCGTAGTAATTATTCAACTTTAAGACGTGCCTCAAAAGGGTTGAAGTTCAATGGAAGGTGATTTTCCGATTTTTATAATGTTAGTCTAAAATAATTAAGATAGGCAAAAAAGTATAGGAATAAAATATTTTTTAAATTAAATATGCCGTATAAAATGTTACTTGTAAACTTTTTTATTCACCCCCCACCCCAAAAAAAAAAAACTTGTTTTTAGTATTAAATAACTAATAAATATAATATGCCGTATGGCGTAAATAAATCATTATTAAAATTCAAGCGTAGTTGTTCTGCTCGCAGTTTTCGAACTTTTTCCCGAACTCGGTGAATCGACGAACGGTTCATTACCAAATTATCAACATTATATCCTAATGCTTGAGCCGTGGCAATTATAATATGAGTTGCATCTCTGTCACTTACCTTGCATCTATCTAAAACCGTTACAAGTTTATCGTTGATGAATGCTGTTCTTCCTCGTCTAGTAGTTGAAGAGCCGACAGAATCTTCACAGCTTTCCACAGTAATAGAGTTTTTGGTATTATCTTGTATCGTCAATCACTAACCGCGCACTTTCACGTAAACTTAACTCGACTTCTCGAATGTTAAAAAATAGGACCGATAAAACTTGTTTGTTTGATGGTGACTTGCATCCAACCAGTTGATGAGAACTAGTACCAATTAAATCAATACGTTTACGTATATTGATTTNTTCTCCGACTTGAATTTTTCTGCAAACTTCGCCATGTATTGTACAACTCTTCCTACATTGGTACACAATTACGAACTTCCCTAGTAGGTATTCGGGCTTTTTGCCAAAATATTAACGTTTCGTCAATCACTAACCGCGCACTTTCACGTAAACTTAACTCGACTTCTCGAATGTTAAAAAATAGGACCGATAAAACTTGTTTGTTTGATGGTGACTTGCATCCAACCAGTTGATGAGAACTAGTACCAATTAAATCAATACGTTTACGTATATTGATTTTACTGTCCATTTTTAAAATCAAAAAGTCTGTCCGTCGATGGTGTGTGGACAATTATAAACCGAGCTGCGACGACAATATTCGAATTAATATAAACAATAAATAATACGTCTAAAACCGAATGAATAATAAACCTGTAAAGACATGTTTAACATTTGAAGACAACGTGTTGTCACAAGACTTAGTCAACGTCGCAAAAACGTGAGTAGGTATCGTGTCTACGCTAGTTTAGGCAGATACGTTGGAACATGTATAGTTAATATTGCACAGCTTTTCATTTCTATGAAGCATGCGTTTTAACCATGTTATAAGTGGACTATTTAATAGCTACTATAAAGTTGTTTATGCAGTTATGTTGTAAATTTTCTTAGTACAAAGTATATTATATTATACAAGCTGTTACCGTGTAAAATATACTAAAAATTAGTTTTTGTTATTTTATAGGTGAATGAATTGTTAAATGAAAAATGTACAAATAACATTTTTTGTAGGATAAACAATTTAAAAAATATATTGTTCTTACGCTTTTTAGTCTGTCTTAAAAATTTTAGACTAAAATTACAAAAATCTAAAAATCACCCTTATTTGAACTTCAGCCCTCTTGAGGCACGCCTTTAGGTTTACCGATTATTACGAAGCTTTACAAAATACATTTTTTTGTGGGTTCGAACAAATTTCAGTGGTAGCCCAATCAAAAATCGTAAAAAAAATTGTCTTCATCTATAGTCTAAGGAACACCCTTATATATATATATATATATATATACAAGTGTTGAACACTCAACCCTTTTCAGATTTCCTATACACATTTCTGGCCCTCATTTCGAATGTATAGGTATAAAGTGTTTACTAATTTATGCCGTTAATAAATAATAAACCGGCAGTATTAACACCGATGACAATTTTAATTTTATTTTTTATTTCAGAAAACTGTCGGCCGGACAGAAAGCGAGCAGTTACTTGAACTTGTCGACCACAGAAATCTGCGGCGACCGTTCTCCGGGCGGATACCACCATCAACATCATCCGTCGTATTATTGGACGCCACCTAGTCTGCCATCGTCGCCGGCCCGCGAACGGCGGCTGCCAGCCACGCCGGTGGGTCGTGGTGCCGGTGGAGGAAGCGGAGGACTGACTGCGGAGACCCCTATTCTGGACCCGTTGTCTTCCAGACGGCGTCCTTACGGCAGTGTCGGTAACCACACCGGTAACCATCATTATCATAGCCACAGCCAGCAGCAGCTGACCGGTTCCAATCATTCACTGCTTTCGTCGTCGGACGGGGCGTCCGTCACGTACGACTATCACACGGCCCAACTGGACATGTTCCTGGACGAATACAAGACCCTGCGAAAGGAGCTGACCAAAATGCAGAGGACTTGCGATACGCTCCGTCTCTCCAACGCTTCGCTGGCATCGTCGACATCCGCCCTAGATGTCATTAACAATCATCATCATCATCATCATCGACATCATCAGGTAAACCTGGAACAAACACCTTCGTCACTTCCGCATCAACAACCGTCGTCGAACATGGCGTCATCGTCGTCACCGTCGTCAATGAGGACACCTAAATCTATACTTAAAAACAAAAACCAGGCCACGTACGTTTACCGGGCTGGCACCGATCACCGGCGCAACAGCTATCATCTGCTGGATCCACCGCCCGACGACGTTTATCTCAGTTAATTTACTTCTTTTCAACTGTAACCGCGATCGTGTTTCTTACACGGTACCATAAAGGTAGAGGAGAGAAAAGACTGCTGGGAGAATTGATCAACAATCATTGGACATGCCACTGCACCGTCCGCTCACCCAGCTCTCTAACCAATCGGCAGCTACCACCTCATATTGAAATCACCTGTATATGACGACGTTTATATACTATGTTCATTTACATTCTTTCTTTTTGCTTTTGACATAATCAGGGCCGTCCTTACGGGGAGGGGGGTTAGTGCCAGAAACTGGGCCTCGCGCTTTTTACATAGATTCGGAACCTCTAGATTGAAAAATAATACTAATTATAATATAATTAAATATTAAAATAATTAAAATTTAGCTCTGGGCCTCGCAAATACTAAAGACCGGCCTTAACACATTCCATAGACTACTCTGTACTGGAAGAACTAAATGAAACAAGGTAAACACTGATCTCTCCTCTTCACCTGTACTACGAACGTTCACATACTCCGACGTTTGTTAGATCAAACCAAAACTTGAGGCCACCACTATTTTCGCTTTCACCGCCACCATCTCCCTAGATCACACACCTCCGTACTTTCAAGCCCGTTGTCTGGAACAAAGACTACATGTGATCACCAAGGAAGCGGTCATCACCAACACAACATTTATATCACTTTATCTACCTCACGCCCCATAAAGTTTTTCTCGGTTAAGTTTCGCATCATCCGTATCCTCCTCACTTTCATCTCCTATAATTTGTAACTGTTACCTATACATTCATGGTAACGGTACGCTCCGATTGTACATAACTGCACGTTGTTGTTTTTGTTGTTGTTGTCGTTATTATAATAATTATTATTGTTATTATTATTATTATTATCATTATCATTATCTCTATTATAATTATGGTTGTTATTACAATATTATCTAATATTGTTCCCACGTAAACCACAAGCGTCTACCGTAACTTAATGCACTTGCAGTGAAACAAGTTAAAAAAGTTGCTTTACGGATGGAACTACTTTTGTATAGAAACCACCACGAAATATTTTGCCTATTGCATTCAAACAAACAGTCAGACCCGAGCTTAACACCATTGCATTATCAATCCCATACGATTCGAGTATCTCGACCTATGTAAAGATATGAAAATTAAATTTAGAAAAAAATCTGGTGAACATATACAACATAATCGAAAAAAAAAAAATTTAAAAAAAACCCATATTATACTCGTATGTTACTAATTTAATATGTCCACTCAAAAAAAAAAAAAAATAATAAAAAAAAAACATTATTTTCAATTGTTTTGTTCGTCCTTTTGTAATATTTATAACGGAACAATAGGTTAAATAATATTAATTATATCGAACACATACCTACGAACAATATGATATTTGCAATATCAATAAATCTGAAATGATATGTGACAAAAGTACAAGGTTTGACGTCACTATCTATACTTCTAGTTGTTTATCCTTTTTTTTCAATTAAAGAAATAAATATACGAATACACAAATTTTTTGGAAAATAAATTTGATAAAACTTAGACTCGGTTTCTCAGGCTAATCTATTTAAATTAATTAAAATCCATAACAAACAAATTTAACTTAATCGCATCCACAATGAAATATAATTATTATAATTGTCTACGTTTATATTGTTGTTATTACACCGAAATTGTGTTTCGTGAAAAACATTCGTTTTTATCGCTGTTTTCTTATTTTCCTAATTTTCATGTTTATTTACATTACATCGGTTTTATGAAAAGGCAGTAATATTAATCGTTTATAATTATCGTTATATAAGCTATAATCACGAATTCGTGAAAATTGAATATACTTATACTACGCATTTATTAATCGCATTTTTTTTTTTCGTTTGATATAATATGTTAATATATCTAAATGTATGTTTTGAAGTTACTACAGTAGTTTTACCTCATTTTATGGAATACTATAACAGTTATAAGTGCCTTTAAAATATTATGCGGTAAAAGAAAAAGAAAAACAGTAGGTATTAACAGAATTTGTATCAAAATGTTTAGTTTACGACTGTCTTCGGTTTATCTGTTTTATCTGTTTAAGAAGTAACAGTAACATTTACCGTCTGGCTGTCTGAAAGGTAATGCAACCAAATGTTATTTCATACTTTCGATATTGATCAGGGCCTAATAGACCTACAACAAAAATTATTTCACTAAATAATTAAAGTTGAAAACGTTAATTGTTATGTTTTCAGACAGGAATTTTTTGATATACACATTAGGTACAAATACGAATCTCTATAAGGATAAATAATTATATGTTTTAAGTTTAAAGTATGGATAGATTTTCTGAGAAATATAAATTTTAAAAAAAATCACACTTTGAAAAACATTACAGTACCCATATTTTGACGTCTTTAATTTAGTAAAATCATTTTTTTTTTTATTTAAGTTTGTTAGATCATGAGTACTATTGGAAGTCCAAAAACACATTTTTTTCTATATTGCCGGTCAGAAAGACAAATACGGCAAATGATATTGTGACATCCTAAAATTATATTATTATAGATTCGATGTACTAATAAAAAAATCCCTACCTAATAACCAATTCATGTAATTATATCAACAAAATACTTACAATTTTCGATTAAACATTTCACAATAAACATTAAATTATTTCATTTACCTTATTTAGATTGACTCCCAAAATAAAATCTATTATTGAATTGGTTCCCATAACATATTCAAATAGCGTTTCTCTAAGTATATGGCTTTATAAAATTCAATAATTTTGTTTAAAATTGTTATCTTTAATTAATTATCGCCTTTCATAATAGTATGTAGATAAATTATTGATAATAATTGTATATGAATATAATATACATATTTAATTCAATATTTTTATTTTTAAATCATTTTGGTGTATGAATTGAAAATAATTTACGAAATAAAAAACATGGGAGCCAGTTCAATGAGTAAAAATACATGGACTATGCCTAACTGGGTGGGAGCCAAATCAATATCATCAAATTTTATTTGACTAAAAAAAAATTAATTAAAAAATAATACATGTGCATTTTGATTGTAATTTATACCTAGTTAAAAATTGTAATTTATTTTGTGCGAACCGCGGGTATTCTCGTATCGAAGCCAACGTCAAAATATGAAACCTGTATCCTATGAACAAGTCCAAGGGGGTGGGCGTAAGCCATTATAATATAATGTTATTAATGTTATTAATGTATATTATTATATTATAATGTATGATTATATGTACGTATTGAATTATTATTAAATAATACATTGAAATATATAATGTAAACATTGTTATACTTATAATATTATAACATGTTATTTAGAACTATAAATTGTTTTGTTTGCGTAACGAAATATATTATTATTTATCATTAATATTATTATTAAATGTTAAGTGTTTTCTGAAAAAAAAAAAAAAAACACTATACTCGTTATTAAAATATATATATTAATAAAATACTCACCTGCTATTATCATAATGTTATTCGAAGAGTATTAAATATCTATCTACTAAACTCTAGAGAGACTAGATTAATAATAGACTGGACATACTCGGCGATACTTTCAGAAGCGCTGGTATAGGAAATGTGTTGGGAGGGTGATTCTGCTATCAGTCAGTTATTTGTAATGGGACTGAATATAGAGTTGAAAGTCCAACTGAATTCCTGTAGTAATTTCGAAACGGGTGTGGCATTTCGACCACCAAACGTCTCCCTTAGTTACGGCCCTGGATACGTTTCTATTAGTCGACACGTTCTTGGTCGCTGCGTTTACTGTTTAATGCAAAACATTTTTTTTTTTAAGAGCAATAAACAGTGATTTACTTGTTGATTTTATTAGGGTTTTAAATATTTGAAATGTTCATATAACGTATTGCACGAAACATGATGGGCTACTACTTATCTAGCGGGTTATCGGCCACTCTTCTGTTCGTCTAGTCTCTCTATAATATACTATATACATTTATAATATTCTACTTGTTGTAAAAATAATATCATATTTTCATATAGTTATTGTAAATATAGTTGTGTTTATACGAATATCATGAATAAACAATATACCAAATGTAGTGTTACATTTTATCTCGTGTTTTATATTATTATATTATAATCAAACAAAAATATATACTCGATGTTATAATGTAATATTTACTTAGAAACTTAAATATTGTGCAACAGACACTAAGCAATATAACCTACTGCAGGTAACTACAGTGGTTTATTATCTTACGTTCATTGTGGAAATCGTGGATATCAAAACGGCAATTTTAAAACGGCGTTGATGCATTTCAAATGTCTTAATACTATTTCGGCAACACGAACAATGATTAAACATTAATATCATATTATGATTTATTATAAACCCCCTTAATACACAAACGATGTTTTTAAAAATAGCAAAACACATATTAAAATCATCTTAAATCAATATCCGTCGCTCACTTAGTTGCGTTCTTATCCTATAACGCGATATAATACAAGGTGATTAAAATAAAACATATAACAAATAATCGATTTAGATAAAGCGTTAAATTTTAACTATAAATGTCCGTAAAACCGCGTTAAATTTCATTCATTTTTTTGTTTTTCTAATAGAAATGAAAAAATGATTGAAGAATAAGTACCTACCGATCTTATAAAACGGATGAGAAATATTCATAGTTTTTCATTGTTAATTGTTTAAAAATTATTAGCAAATTACTATTAGGTTTGTATGTGATTATATATATAGACATATTCATAATTTTAAGGGTATAGAAACAATTCGACCAAAATATAATATTTTAATAAACACTAAGTATGTATAGTTTAGTTACTTACAAAATGTACTTACAGCTATTAAAATTGAGTGCATAAAATCCATTTTAGCCTCGCGTTTAGCTGTTGTTAAATTCAAATTGAGTTGTGTGGCACTGCACTTTACTCCACCGTGTACCTTCATTGTTAATTACTTTTTAAGTACCTATCGATTACATTCATCCATAACAATATTATAGCGTTCCGTTATAATGACCAAAAGTCATTGCAATTTAAATGCCCCCAATTCGAATTCATTATACATCAATTCACGACCACATGAATCATTTAAAAAATGTTAGAACAAAATGCATTACCAAATATGATTTACCTAAGTATTATATTATATCAGTGAATCTATACGGTTCTAGTTATTAATACTTTTTAAAACTTAACATTTTAATTAAATAATAGTAGTACCTAGGCGAAAAGCTAATAGAGTAAATTAACGGTAGTTATGGACGGTAGTAGTTAGTATACTGCATACTGACATAAATCATTGGAAAATATTTAAATAGTAGTATTATCTTAATTTGAATTCCGTATTAGGAGATAAAATTGTATAAGAATAATCGATTATTTCGAAACTAATAAAAATCATAACCCATTTACCTATAATGATAGTTGCATTAAGAATCTAAATCTAAGTATGCTTATTTAAAAAATTAAAGAACACCATCATCAAAACCCTTGTGTTTGAATTTTTTTGAAATGCACAATTCTATTATTTTTAAAGGTTATATTATAGCTTTGTAGCTTTATGGTAATACAATATAATGATACTGTTTGATTTAAGATTATTCAAATATAATATTAATAATAAATTTATATACTTACAATGCATGCACACATAAAATATTATAAAATATGCCCTTATTGTTATATTCCATGTATTCTATTGACTTATTCACTAATAAAAGAATTAATGTAACATATTTGTATAAGTATAAATATTATACGAGGGCTAATCAAAAAGTATCAAGACTGATAGTATCATTCGGAAAAGGAGCATCGAAGAGCAGTAGGATTGGTATCACTCGCTTCTATGACTTTTTCTGAGTACATTTGTTTTTATTGCTTCTCTATAAAATTATTCGGTTTGATTTCACTGATATTTTTGTAAAATATATTTTTCGAGTTTGGCGATTTTGTAGTAAACTCAAAAGAAGAGTAACTTGACTGATTTGGAGATTTTAGAAAATTTGTCTGCATTTTTTTCCAGTCTCAGAGGGATGCAACATTTTATGGCTTTTGCCATTAAATGTCAATTGAAAAACTGAAAATATGCCCTCGAGTGGCAGCGAGTTCCGCTTCTTTGGGATTCATTACGAAATCGCCACACGTGAAAAACAAATTTTAGAAAAATATCGTCAAATCAAAACGAAGAAGTTTATAGAGATTTTATACGAATAGATGTGTTCAGTATAAATCATAGAAGCAATGTTTATAAATCGTTTTGCTCTTCAACGCTCGGTTTCCGACTAATATTATCAGTCTCGATACTTTTTGATTAGCCCTCGTATATATANTGTAGTTATCAGTGTATGGACTATATTAATCAATGTTCTTAATCATTATATATATATATATATATATATAAAAAAAAACATAAAGATAAAGACATCTATTATTAATTAATAAATATATTACCTACTATTAATTTATTTTATTTCGAAAGTTAGAGCAATAGCTCTTATTCTATATTAATAACTAAACATTAAATTTCAAAAACGTATAAGTAGGTATGCGAATACAATGAAATTTATAAAAAAATCAACCTATACGTGGACCTTTTCAGGAAATGGTCGAAAACTGCCACGGTAGTATTCGTCGAGTACGCGTGTATACCCGAAAAACTATTTGACATTGAACAGTTTAACTGTTCGTCCTTTTTAATATTGTTAATAGGTAATTTTCAGTGTCAATTTTATGCGGCGAATTTACGCGCTCCGTACACATCATCACTGCTCGTCGACGAATAGAGTCGCCACTGGCTGGTCGTTCCACTAGTAAAATTTCCGATGTAAATATATCGCGACTGAGAGATTTTATTCGGATTTTAATAGTTCGCGTGCCTCATATACGTGACTTAATTCGCTGACGAGCAGCGAGTGTAAATTCTCCCGTTCTGTTATCAAACTGTGAATACGGTTAATAATAGTGGACAACCGAATATTTAATTTTATTCCTGGCGTGTAAATTTCCGGTTCCCGTTGGGTATTCCCGGGGACCCCGGACACTGAATTGCATACTCCAATTGTGCTTTATCATTAAATTTAATTGTCATAAAATAATTATAATTTGTCACCGGCAAGCCCGCAAACCGAACGTAACCACTCCTATTGCTATAATTTTATATTCCTATATATATAATATAATTTACCCTTGAAGTTAACAATTTTTAGTTAACGAGATTTCTTGTGGAAACATTGTTAATAAAAGGAAGAAAAAAATGATTTTTAACATTTTTATTGAATTCTACTCATATTGTTAAAAAAAAATTCTAATTTTATAATAACTTTTTACGGGCATTTAAACAATAGTAAATTAATTTAACATCCATACGGATGAAATTAAAATTTTCCAAATTGTTTGATACACGGTATAATATAAAATTATCAAAAAACGTTTACGTAATAAATTTAATACCTAGCTAGTCCATCTCCCAATTTTCTTTTGTAATACCTTTATAAATTTGTATGCACAACCGATGAGACTTCGTGCACATTTCTGCAAAAACGATTAGCATAGTCAAAAGTTCAAATTTTTATAGTAAAGAGGGACATTGAAATGTACTTTTCATTATAACATTTAATTAATTTTATATTTTTTTTTCAACTATGCAAACATCGTTCAATTTAAGAGGTATATTTAGATTATTCTTATTGGGCTATACATTTCCTAAGTCTAAATGGCTAGGTAAAACTAGTTTTAAAATAAATAGTCCAATTTATAGATGACTGTTTGTCTGTTCCGCTTACCAAAATTACAGCGCAGAGTTCTAGTAATTATTACATTTAAAACATTTTTTTTTATTTGAAAAAACGTTGAAAAATTTATTACATATTTGTTAAATAGTCTAAATATGTCAAAATTACCGTGTTTTTTCAAATTTATTTATGGTCATGTATAATTATTTAATTTGCATTGATAAACCTATAGCGAAAACACGTTTTTATTAATTTGTCAATAATATTATTAATATCAAATCTTACAGTTTTAGTTTAGCTTTTACTTGTAGTATTATATCAACCAGCGCTATCTGTCTACAAACCGTATGCGTTCGATCGTCAAAACTGTAGCTTTCTCTATTTAGTTCACTGTTGAACTTTCTATAAGCATCACCAACAGTCGCGTCCAATACGTTATAAAAGTATAATATCTGTACCCTGTCATTACAAATGCTTGTACATAATAATGACTAGGTACACAACCTACTATTTTAGGCGATGTACCTATACCTACAAACAATAAATAAATAATGACGATAATTAATATATTATGGATTCTAAGAAATATTGCATTATTCTCTTGTAAGTACAAGTACGCTAAAGTGGAACATGTCGGTTCTACTCATCGATTAATATCGACCGCAAATTGCGTGTTGAAATCGTACCTTTTACGTAGGTTGGTTATTATCAGGGGCGGATAAGTATGATCTGAACGGCCCGGGAAAAATAGAACCTAGTGGACCATATGATCATATCCATGGTTCAACAAGAGAATTGCTTCAATATAGAGTGCACCAACACCCACCTAATTTTTTTTGTTGAGAAAAAAATATAAATTTAATATTACACTATTACAATTTGAATAAAAAAAAGTTTAGGGTGCTAAAAAAAAAACCTTCCATATACCATTACGGTATTACACATGACGTTCCAGAATTTGAACTTGGTATAATAAAGAAGGGGTTTAAATGATAAACAAATTTTCATTTTCGTTATTTTTATTTAGATATTTCGTAAAATAAATGTATTCATGAAGAATTATTTCTGATTTCTGGTACTTATCCTCATAAACGTGCGCAGGTCTCCTTGGCAGGGGAGACAGTGATTTTTAAAATCATAATCAAAAATAATGGCTATATTTTTGGAGGTCGATGAAGTCCCATTAGTATTGATTATGTATACTTAGTATTTACTAGATGAGAATTTTATTCTAGAAGGCTTGGTTGCGTATTCGGAGGGAGTCAAAATCCTCCAAAGTCCCCTCCCCTTTTTACGCTAATGTATAAAATTAAGAGTAACTTAGGGTTTGATATTTTAAAAAAAATGTATATCTGTCATATTTTTTTTTAAAAATATTTTGGTGGAAAATTTCATAGGATAGGTTCCCCCGTGCACACGTTTATACTTATCATTCCCTTCCTGGTCTATTTTCGAGTAACTGTAAGTACTTAAAAAATAAATGGAATCAAATTTTATTAGATTCATTACGAAATCTATATACAAAAATGGCCACCTAAATATCTACCTAAATCACTACCTGTACGGTTCATGTTAGTTTAAATACTTTTGTTCTACTACCGACTATCCAATACTAACGGGATTATTACTCGTACAATTGGCCCAAGAAGAATGTCATATTTTAAATTTGGGAGGCCGGGAAAATTTACGTGACTGTAAAGCATATGTACATTTGTATATATTATCCAATACTAATTATAAATGTATAAATAATGATAAATTAATAAAAGCTGTAGTTATTTCAATGGGTGTAAATTATAATATGAAAAAAAATATTTGCCTAAACTCCAGAATTTAAATCCAAATATAATGGTACGTAATACTAAGGATATTATGCTAAATGACAACGGAAAGCCAAAAACAAAATGTAGTGAATAGTTAGAGTAATAACTATGGATAAGTAAGTTATAGTTCACTAATAATAGTACTAGTTATATAGTATATAGTTATTTTGCCTAGTAAGTAATTGTATTTGTGTGTATTAGTTGATGACAGCAGCTGTGAGTCAATCTCAAACATAATATTCAAATTCCAAGTTAAACAATTGTAATAGTAATTTAGCATAGTCATACAATGATAATTTATTATGATTTAAACTAGATTTAAATAAAAACAGTATTATTGTAATTTTTTACAGTAATTTTTTATCAACTTTAAATATTCGTGTTTCTGTACAATAGCCAATAGCAGTATTTTTCATCAGCCCATTTTCGTCAAAATAAATGGCGGTCCACCGGGAAAATCCCGATGTCCCCGTGGGCCTATTCGCCTCTGGTTTTTGATTAGTATTATTTTCAATTAGATCGGATGCTAATTAACAATTGCTAGGAACAATGCTAATTAAAAATGCATATTTTATCCACGATGTTCAGAGTTGTAATATCAGTTTTTTTTTTTAATTTCTGAGCGCATCAGAGAATGTAATGGTGCTAATATTATAAATACTTCATTTTTGCCTATGAACATTTTTTTCTACCGGAAACCTTGCTTTAGTTTAAATAACTACAGAGCTTTTTGTTAATTTATTAATTATTTATTTTAAGGCTGGAATCCCAATTGAAATATTATTATACAGAATTTGCCATTTGGTATTTGCCTATTGCTAATATACACATGAATATCCTACACTACAAAAGGTAAAAAACAAAGACAACATTTTGTAACTTGGTCAAAGTAAATATAATCAACTAAATACGGAGAAGGAGGTGTCAAGATTGGCCTGCGTCAAACAACGAGTGAGAGGTTTATATTATTTTGGTAATCTGTAGCACGTAACGGTACAGTAAACAGAGCGATGGTACAGGTATTTCAAAGGAGTTGAACATTTTTACGAACAATGTGTATGAAAATGTGTATAAAAATGTGTATGAGAGAAAAACATTTTGGGAGTCTTGTCTCCATGATGTACTATGTTTAATATTGACCGGCAGCAACCTACCACACGAGATTAGTCTTATTCATTTATTTGCGGTTACTTAATTTTTTTCACTCAAAATTCTATTACGAGAATATGGAAATAGTCACTTACCTCGTAAACTGTTTGAAGTTCGCAAGAAGTTCGTTGCTCAAAATATAAGAAGCAAATACCATATAAGGAGGTTTCAATAAATTGTTACAATAGACACAAGTAAGTTTTCTAACTCTTTTGTCACTAAAACTACTACACCAATAAATATGTATAAAGCTATACTCAGACATTGGGTCGCTAATAAGAAACGACTTGTGGGAGAATCATCCGTTTAGTGTAACGAATTTATTACCGACGTATCGCTGTTTAGCCGTAAAGATTTAACGTGGTGATAACCATAAAAATGTACAAACAACTGTTTATCACGAATGACTTTTATGACGACCACGAACTACGCTATTTTGAGATCATGCTCGAGTCTGTCAAAGGTAATTTATTTTGTGTATACGGTGATGGGAAAAAAAACAAAAAAATACGTTAAGTGTGTGATAAAGAACAAGGTTTCAATAAGTGCAACTACCAGGTTTGAGGAAATGCGAATTGACCAAATACAGCATACCGCCTATGATATCTGTAACTGCAGTATAAATTTGGAAATTTGTAGGTCGTAAGGATTTTAGTTGAGCAAAAAAAAAAATGCTTTCACCGGGCAAACCCAGAGAAGTGACGACACGATGGAAAAGATTTACACGTCTCGCGTCTCGGTGGCCCCCATATGATCGACACAGTGGCTACGCGAGACGCCGATTTACGTAATTAATTGAGAAATAATTTATGGAGTACTTATGTGTCAACACTGACATTTTTAGTGATGGAATGGGTAATTAATATACCTATTACGTCACTTTGCCCGTTTATTTTACAAATATTGAATATTTAACGTATTAAAAAATATAATTTAGAACGGGAATAATGTGATTAGGTTTTTTGCGCACTCGTTTTATTCAGTATTCATTCTCGTCTGCGATACGTACATATTGTGTACGCATTACGCTATATACGCAAATTATTATTCTCTACGAATTTATCATATGTAATTTAAAGGCGATACGATGTTCTAGACGAGATGGAGAAACCGCCAAATAAATGCATAATATTGTTTATGATCTTCGCAGTTTCGGGTAAATATAATTTAAATTTCTTCAACGGTACAATAAAAGTGAAGGTATAAATAAATGTCGCGGTCGGTATTTTATTTGGCGGCAGGTATTTGTAGAATAAAACAGTACGGCATACCGTTGGTACAATGATATTTGTTTAGTAAAAATGTAATAACATTGGTTAGTAAATTTTAATACTTTTGTTAGTAATATTATATAATATTAGTTATTAATTATTATATCATTTTTTTATTTTTTTTTTTTAAATTGGATTCGTATTTAAAAGAATGTGCATAGTATGTAATATACGAATAGTTGTAGGTTAGGGTCTAATACCTAGTATCGGTTATTGGGCGACAGTAATATTTGTTAAAAATGTTATATAATATTGATTGATTAACTAAATTGGAGTAATTTTAAATATGAGTGTTTGAGAGTACCTATATAATATGAAAATAGTAGTAGGTTAATATAGTAAAATAAAGAGCGTGTACAAATTTATTAAGATTAGTAAAATAATTAATTTTTTTTTTGTTCGCGATTCAATTATTTAATCTCAGTGGATTTCATTTATTGTCTGTCTCTTCTTCTTCTGCGATGCATCATCTTCATCTCGGCCTGTGCACATCTTTGGTTCACTATATTGTTCTGAATAGTTTTTATATGGACATTGTCTACTTCCAGTTAACGCGAAAATCTATTTTGTTTGAACACACAATTTCGTAGAGGGTTTTGGAAGTTGATTGACTTCTGGGTATTTTATAATTTTGTATTATTTTTGGAATTTAAATGTAGATGTTTGTTGTTGTTAGATATATATGTTTTGATTTTTGTTTTTCACTGCTATGATTTCCCCGTGTTTTTCGATTTTGATAGAGTTTCTATCAAGTATGATCCATTGTATGTTTGAGACGGAGATTTGAGGAACAGAAAACGACCCAACAATTTTTATTTTCTCAATCCTAGGATTTTCCAAGAGAAAGGTCGTGAAAATACTGTTTTGATATGATGTTGATAGAAAGACATGTTTATACATATGAATGTGTCATGTACTACATATTATATAGCAGTTAACGTAACTAAATATTTGTGTAGTTATTGATTGATTTAGTTATTGAACATTTTTGTAAGTGAACACAATATGTTAGAATATATACTCGAATAAAATATATAATGTGTAATTATTGTAAAAAACGTTTTTTGTATTTCGATTTTAGATGTTAACGAGCTATATAAAATGACTTATAACTTAATGGTACAACAATATATAACAACCATTTGTTTTGATTTTTTGTTTTCTGTATAGTAATATCTGAATTAAAAGATATATGTATATATAATCATTTACGTGGTATAATAATATTATTACACATTTTTTTTTTTTTTTATTCAAATTTTTTATCAGACTTTTTTTTGTTGTTATTTATACTTAATGATCAATCAATAATATAAAATATTTTTAATTTTTATGGACAAGTATACTTGTACTAGTTAATTATATGACATAATATAATGAATAATTATTATGCTTAATAAAACGCAGTAAAATAAAATGTAATATACGTAATCTGAATGTATACTTTTTTTTTTTACATTATCTTATTATTATTATTATTTACTTTTTGTATTTTATTTTTTTTTTTTTATGTGGATACTATTAACGCAGTACTATTCATTAGGTGGATCAATAACTTAAAATCAATACAATATTGTTGTAAGGTAATTATGTGATTATTAGCTAAATTTATTTTTAGCATATCATATTGTTGATTCATATGAGATGTTAACTATAATAAATGCATAGTTATTTCGTTGTTTTTTTTTTTTCAAGAGCATTTAACTACATAATCTAAAAGGATAAATTAAGATCACGATTTAGACGTTAACCGTATTTATTGAAGGAATGATTTGAAATAGTGTAATAGGTACATATTAGTATAGTATTCTTGTCTATAAAAGCGTTGGATTGGTAGATAATTGTTTTTTTTTTTTTTTTTTTTTGGGTGGCAAATTGAGAATTTTATATTGAAACCTAAAATCTCTAATGGAAATAAAAGAAGAAATATTTGAATATGTAAATACAAATAATGTGAACTTCAGAGTGTTAATATTTGTGTGTTCGTTGTTTTCGTTTCAAGAAAATATAAATGATTTGGGATAAACAAAAAAAAATTAAGTTTAATAATATAATGAATGTGAGAATAATATTTATGTCTGAATATTTTTTAAAAAACTGTTTGAATTTGAAACAAATAGTCAATTTGTTGACATTTCCAAGGGTTTTGGTATGAATAAGATTATATTTTGGCTTTATAATATTTTTATACAATTCTCTGAGTGTGTTTTTGACAATATTTGTTTGTTGGACAATTAATATAATGTAATTTAGAACGGGAATAATGTGATTAGGTTTTCTACGCTCTTGTTGTTTCATTCAGTATTCATTCTCGTCTGTGATACGTACATATTATACACGCGTTACGTTATATACGTTAATTATTATTCTCTACGAATTTATTACATGTAATTTAAAGGCGATACAATGTTCTAGACGAGATGGAGAAACCGCCAAATAAATGCATAATATTGTTTATGATCTTCGCAGTTTCGGGTAAATATAATTTAAATTTCTTCAACGGTACAATAAAAGTGCAGGTATAAGTAAATGTCGGTATTTTATTTTTCGTTAAATATTTGTAGAAGAGAACGGTGCGACATACGTTTTAGGATTGTAAAAACACTCATATGATTTTATCGAGTACAATACAATTATAAGATAGACTTAAACACGATGGGCAACTTGTATTTTCATTAAACTCAAAAGTTTTCGATTTTTTTTTTTTTTTTAATGTATACATTTATTAATGTAGACATAAAATTATTTTTCAACGCAATTTTACGGATATCGTCTATGATCTGAATAGGTCTATGTTATAACTGACCCATAGTCATGGACCTTACTAAAGAATCCAATTAGCTGAATTGATTCCCGTTTTAATACGAGATTTTACCAATATTATCTTTACCATTTTTTTATTACAAGTTTCTTTTCTAAATGGTTTTTAATATTATCGGTTTCAGATGTAAGCTGCCTCCCTGTAAACAAAATCGAAATCTCGTGGTATGAGCTATTTTCGTTCTAATTGTAGAGGGGAATCAGCAGATTGTGAAAAACCCCACCATTGCTGTTCACAAATATGTCAACGTTCCTATCAACGTGACTACGGCTATTGCTATGTGGAAAATTTAGGACCTTTAATCAAATCCACTAAACTTCCTAAAAGTAAACCAATATAATTTAATTTAAAGGAGTTTTATAGTGTAATAAATGTAAATATGATTAGGGGAATAAAATCACCCATATCAAGACAATAAGGCAGGTTCCTATGTCCTATCAGTAGTATGAAAATGAGAGTTCTAACTCATGAGCATGAGCATGAGCATGAGCCATGTGCCACCACCCCCGCCCCCCCTTTTTTTTCGAATTAATTTTTTTTTCTTATTCATCCACCAAGTAGACGAACTAACCTAACCTAACCCTCCCTAATATGACTTTTTATTTATTTTTTTTTTTTCTTCGAAATCCTTTCTATGCACCTATAAGTGGATCGCTGACGCGAAGTCGTCGCCGCCCGCCACTACCCCTACCCACCGACTCGAGGTACCTATACGTGGACCTACCCACCACTATATATACATACAAATAATATACCTATACACACACACACACACGCATACCCGCCGCCGCAAAAATATTAGTAATCGTAGTACCGATAAATAATAATTCTGTATACACGAAATTATATATTTTATTAGAATACCTATATGTATAGTTGATACCGTCGGCGAAAGAATATTATTTATTTTTTTATTTTTTCGTATTATTATTTATTTTTGTCGTCACTATAGGTACACACATACATTATAAGTATTACCTATTACCATTATAATACGATGTGTCGTACGAGTTACGAATTATTCTTATAAGTATAAAATTTATGTCGCCGTAGTACATCGGTCGTCAAAATAAAATAATATTAAATAATAATATTACTTATGTATACCCAACGATAGATATAGTTAACCTATACACTACATAATTATTATCGAGTACGTAAAGGGAAAATCGTTTCCGAACAACTCTGATCGCATATAACGACTAAATGTTGTACATCGGTCGTCAAAAGTCATTAGATACTAAAAAACTATTGCCCAATATTTCTTTCAGCATAACAGTACCCTCTCTATATACTCGGTGACGGATATATAAGACAGTACTGCACGTCCACTATTTAGTACGCTTTTGAATTATATCGTATAAAGACCTACCCAGGCAGACTTTAGCGATTGGTTCAAGAACGAATTTTGAATTGTATTATTTTTTCATATAAATATAAAAAATAATTTTCACTATGGCCGATACGAACGCTGCGAAGAAGTTCATCTACATAGCACCATCACCACTGGTCGACCTCATCGATTCTACATCGTTCACGATAGATTTTGCAGGTAGTAAGTTTCTGCATGTAGGACTTGACCCAATACAATATCATGCTATCATCCTAATAATAACGCCGGCTCGCCATATTCTCATCACAACAGAATTTTTACAAAGTATATATCATATGATGGGTGATTTACTGTCTTACCTGCTTGACGCCCCGACATATAAAAGAAAAATACTTCTATTTACCGATACCACTACGCTTTCCAGTATGGTATTTAAGGACGAGAACGTGCTTATTTTAGAATCGAAAACTGTAAGACAGTAAATCACCCATCATATGATATAAACTTTGTAAAAATTCTGTTGTGATGAGAATATGGCAAGGGTTAGGTTAGGTTAGGTCGTCTACTTGGTGGATGAATAAGAAAAAATTAATTCGAAAAAAAAAAGGGGGGGGTGGTGGCACATGGCTTATGCTCATGCTCATGCTCTTGCTCTTGCTCATGCTCATGAGTTAGAAGTCTCATTTTCATACTACTCCTATCTTATTGTAAAATACCATACCATTTTTGTAAAAAAAAAAAACTTTGGCACCAGTTTTTTTTAAGTGGTTACCTAACTAAACAAAAGAAAATTATATATTACATTTATACAAAACTTTTTAAATAAACTTAAAACTTGAAAACTAACTTAATTAAAATATTATAACAATTTTCAACGATGGCGAAAGTTCATAAAAATATCACGTAAGATAAAACTCAAAGACCAGAAAATCCACCAAGGCGAATTTCAGAGTTATAAAATGATTATTATGAATTTTGTACAAAAACCGGAATCTTTATTTTAAATATTTTAGAAATCGGAAGCCGATTTTCTTTTTCAGGTTTTTATGATTAAGATTTTTACGGTTCATTTCGGTTCCAGTGATAAATTTATTTTATTTTTCAATCAGCGTTATATAGTTGTTTGTTAGTAGTAAACGTAATATTACGTATATCTTAAAAATGTACGAGATTTTTTTATATAAATATTATCCGATGGACTTTCATAAAAATGATAAAATTCGTTTTTTTTTTTTTTTTTTTTTATTGATAAAAACTGTTACCTGCCCGGAAAATGTATAGATTTTAAAAATTCATTACATACCTGTCTGAAATTTTATTTTAGTATGTAGATTTAAAATATATAGACAATTGAACGCTATATATTACAGGTACCTGTAATGTAATAAAATATGAATGTTCATTGTTTATGAACAATTTAAATTATAAATCACACAAACAAAATCTCGTACTCGCCCGACTGTTTATTGATAAAAGCCCCCCATGTTTGCAATGTATTGTATAGCCATCTTAAAATGTAAATAATAGTTGTCTGTCTGTCTGTTTGTCGTTAATAGACTCAAAAACTAATAGAGCGGTTTTTTTGCACAATGTTCCACGATGTCCGGAAAAGGTTTATAATTTTATAGCTATTGAAATCTACACCCATTTGAATACCAACTTCTAAAATTCAGTTTTTTGGTATTCTTAGTATAAAAATAATTGTATTAATGATTCGTTATCTTGATTACTTACCTGGTGGTTTAAAAAAAATTAAAAATCAGCAAAGGCAACGCCAGATAGGACAGCTAATTGTTAGATAAATCCAAATAATTTAACTCGTTTAAAACGTTCAAAAACATATAAATTTTAAATTGATCGTGACACTTTTCTCAAAGATACAGGTATAATACCCGATCTCTCATTTGAACACCACATAAACATCGGCCGAGCCCTAAGAGTTCCGGGCTTCATTAATCGCGACATCGCTAATTTTTCCTCTCTCTCCACTGTCCGTGCTTTTCTATATTCTTCCCTCGTGCGCCCCATACTCGAGTACGGTGCAGTGATTTACTATTTCCACTTTGTGCGTGATTAATTTGAGCACGTACAAAACAAATTATATCATATGCTCCTTTCGAGCTAAAAATAGAAAATCCCCAGCACGACTCTTCACTAGTCCGTTCTACTCTTGAAATTCCTACTCTTCATTCTCGTCGCTGGTAATTACTCTATCGCATCTCTTCTTGACGATAATATCGACGCTCCAGATCTTTTTATCAGCCATTCCTTTACGGGTTCCTACCTACTGCATCAGATCCCGTTCTCTCAACTCAACTCCGTGTCTTCAATACCTTGGACGAATTACGAGAGATCCATTTTCTCTTCTCCCTTAACATTGTGAAGTTCAACTGTGTGACCATAAAGCGCAAACAAGCGTTTATGGCGTAAATACGACGGTTTTTTTTTTTTTAATAATATATTATGGCTACTAACTGTCTAACGTTGCCCGTGCCAGAAGAAATTGTAGAACATTTGCCATTATGCTATAACAGTCCTGATATGTACTACCTTATTATTTATTTTTTGTTTTATTTGATTGAACTTCTTTTTTTTTCTTCCATATTTCCCCAACATAATCCACATAATCGATTTCTGTTATCAAACACCAATAACCCTCTGTCAACTCTTAGTGGTTAAATAAAGAGGGGGGGGAATGCAGTTTATACATTATTATAATATTATATTATTCTGGATTTTGAATTACAAATACGCAAAGATTCTGTATAATCTGTTTAGTAATTCGGACGATAAGTAATAACAAACATGCGTACAAACATTCACTTTTATTATATTTGTATAATATAAATATTTCCAGTTTTCTATTAATAGTATAATATTACTTAACTGTACAAATTAATTTAACGAGAATCGAATTGAACTCTCATCGCTGTAGGATTACTATTTCTTGACTTCCGTAGCTCTTACAATAACACCTGGAATTGGCAAACTTAATTATTATAACTCTGAGGGGTACAATAAAATTAATTTGCGGATATCTATTCCGCAACGAATTTGTTACTCAACCTCTCACTATTAAACAGGGGTTTGTCACTGTCGTTTCCAAAAGTGAACAAATATCACATTATTTAAAAGATGGACGGGATATAAAAGAACTTTTTTTTACAACCCATCCAATGATAAACTTTGAATCGTTTTTGTATTAATTATTATGAATTATAACACTTTAGTTCAGTATGAATTCATATTTATTTATTTTATTACAATGAATTTTTAGCGTAAGTTAAAATTAGTTTTAAAAAAGACGTCCTAGGGTAATAGAGACAGATGCAGCCACTGTTATAGGTAATTTAATGTACCCCTATAATTAATGATAAACCATTGCTTACGAATAAACGGTTTTTATCAGAGTTCTGTTGATAGTGATGCTTTGTCAACAATATAAATGCTAAATTATAGTAAAATAATTAAATAGACTCTATATATTTTCTTTAATAATATTTCTTTAATGTTGTACCGATTTCCCCGGGTTTCCTACATTTTCTGGTTTTCCTTTTTTTCCCAGTTTATCACATTTACTGAGAAAACTGAAGAAAATCGAAAAAAACCTCTTTGAAGTACCTCTCCAGTGAAATTTCATTTTAGAAAAATTACTATCATTAAAAGTTGGAGCAAAATTGTTGGTAGAAAAGTTGTCTACAGAAAAAAAAATTCGTCATATTATACAAACATAACTCGTACATTTTTCCGCTTTTCCTTTGATTTTTCAGTTTTCACATTTGTCGGGAAAATTCCGGAGAATATTGAAAAAAGGACCTCCTTACACCGATTTTCTTTCAGAAAATGTGCTACACGTAAAAATAGGAGCAAGCCCTATGGTAGAAAAAGTGTCTACAGAAAAAAAACAAAAAATAAACATCTTTGTAAAACCATAAATTTCTTCGCTCTACTCAGAATCTACAATTAACTATATTATAATTGTATAACACGTGAATAAATTACTCGGTATTTTCCGGGCCTTACCATTCAAAAGCAGATATCAATAAAAGAAATTCAATTTAACATGTCTCACCGGTTCCGTCTTTATCCCTACCACGGTTAATTGTTGCTGTTCGGTAATCTGTCTTTTGAAACGGGTACTTTATTTTGTCTGTGACAACCAAATGAAATAATAATGACTGCTTTTTTTCATCCGTGTTGCCGAGACAACATATAAATCAACAGCAAAAAAAAATGCCATTTTCGTCCCAAAAATACCGAAAATTCCATGTCAACCAACATTTAGTGATTGAATTTCGAAATAAAACTGTCGATTAAATTTATTTTAAATTTTTTATGATAAAATCTATAGGTTTAGGGCAATGTGAAATCCCGAGCTATTTCATCCTGTCCGAGCAATTTGAACTACGCATATCAACATGTATAACAAACGATTTAAATAAATCAATAAGTTGTTTAGTTAATATTTGAATTCATAATTACTTCTTCCTAGCTATTACCATTATCACGTGAAGGGGCATCATCCCGACTGTTTGGGGTCGACCACTCTCGTTCTAAACTTCCACTTGACCCGATCTCCCATCTCACATATACACCGGCTATCATCATATAATTCTCAATCGCATCCAACCGCCTTATTTTTAGTTTTTATTTTTCCTAATGATTACATTATAATTATTATAATTATATTAGAAAAATTGCCTAGGAAAATTAATTAATACATTATTATTCAGAATGTCATTATCATGTATTTATTTTTACACGATTTACTTGAACCGCACCAAATATTGCAAAGTCCGAAATTAGAGAAGGCGCGGGTTGTTTCTCGCAATTAAATCGAAATATCCGTCACGCCGTCGATCTGTAAAAACTTTTATTTCGTAATCGTAAATTGACGTTAAATTATTACTGTACACGTACGAGATACGAAGTGTCTATAGTAAAGCACGAGCACACGACTAGTCCATCGGTAATATCCAACGGATCATAATTTTATCCGCGTAGCAATCGTACATTTAACATCCGATATGGCTAGCTAACGGATATGTATGCATGGCTATGTGGGAAACAAATATCCTATTTGAAAATATCCCGGAGATGACACGACGTTTATACGGCGTGTTAAAAAACAGACAGACTTTGTTTGTAATAATAACTTTAATTGGGCGTGTAAATTATTGTTTTGAAATATTCATAATTTAACAACGATGGATAACAATTCGAAATCGTTCAATCAATTTATTTGTATTCGTAGTTCGAACGTAATTATACATTTTACATTGCTCATTTAAAAAAAAGTTCGAACATACGACAGTATTATAATATAGATAATATTAGAAACTTTTGTTTTTTTTTTCTTTTTCGAATAATTTTCTATTGTCGAGTATAATAATAATCATAACCGAAATACTTTTTAAGAGTAGATGGGTCAATTTTCGTTTCATTTTTTTTTTTTTTATATATATATATATGACATCGAAACGAAACTAACGGACAACTAATGCAATACATCGCACGCGACTCTGAACAAAAGCAGCACCGAAAGACGGCCGCCGCCGCCGCCGCCGCGAATATCGCCGAGAAATATAATTTCGTTAACGAAACCGCTAATTAACTATATTATTATGTCGCACGAAAAGCCACCGTTTCGTGTGCGTACAGCGCGTTTGGCGAGTAAAAATGTTTATCGAAACGAATCCCTCGTTCGTCTCCCCGGTACCTAAATAACGACGTTACTAAGTTCGTCTCGTATTACGGCTCGCCTACGGACGACGGCTGCGGCCGCCGCAAGTGGCTATTGAATTGTCGTACTCGCGATACCGTCACACGCCACTGAAACGCGCACCGGGTGCGTTGTGCGGGGTGTCACGTAAACGTATTGAATACGTTCTGGGCTTCGTGTGTCCGTTAAAACGTTTAGGCGCCCGTCGTACAGTTCGCGGTGTCGGCGTACACTAATTGAGTCCCGACACCTGAACGGGAGACGTACAGTGTAAACTCGCATTGAGCGCCGGGCATAAACCGAAACTGCGCCGAATGTGCCCGAGGATCGTTTTCGGTAAAATATAAAACCCGACCACAGTGTACGAACACGGAGACGACCGCGTAATAATATCGTTCGTCGCGTCACGCAATCATCTGTAGGACGTCCCTCGGGTAACACAACCCGAGTTCGTGCGCAGCCGATATAATTTTATGTTATTGTTGATTATTGCCGGGGTCTTGAGATTGCGTTACCACTGTCGCTAGTACAATAATTACCGTCTACCGATATCCGTTATGCTATTATACGCTTCGGTTTACCAAGTACGCCGAGCACCGCGGACGAAGTTATGTTAAGTGAAAGAAATAAATGTATTTTTTTTTTTTTTTAAATATAATTTATCGCCTATGTTTATTTAATTATACACAAGCGACGTTTAAATTATTCACATGATACATATTTACCAGTATGGAAATCTGACGGTTTTTTTTTTTTTTTTTTTAATGTTTGACAGGGCTCGGTTAGTATTGAAACATGGACTCGATTAGTATTATAGCTAAAACTTCATGTGACTCAATTAGTATACGCATAAAACCACCCTGGAATCAATTCGTCTCGAAGTATTCGCATGCAGACGTCGGAACTACAAGAGGGCCGTGTACCATCGAACAAAATTGTAAATTGTTCGTGAAGGAGCTGTTTAGTAATTATATAGGTACGTGTGACGCTCCGATCGCTCTTGCGCGGACTTTTAAGACAAATTGTTTTACCCAAGTCTGGTCCGTGTTGAACCTGAAGTGAATCAAGCTCACTGCGCCGAATTTACGCTGTAAATCGTCCAAATTTCGTTGTAACGGAACCCGCTGATTATTGTTAATATATTGTTTCGGTTGTTTGTCGGAATTCGAAATACAAATTTTCGCTCTATGTAATTGGTAGACCTGCGTGCAATTCACGCAAGATAATTTCAAATTTAACGCACGTGATTTTTTTTGTTTTGTTTTTCATGTAATGTAAGTATACTCTTGTGTATACTCGAGATATCGGATACGTATTTGCTAGCGCGATACGCATTGCGAGTGTCGATGGTAATGAACGTGAATCCGGCGGAACCTCGTAATAGGAAACCGCTATTGATACGAATGCATCATTGTCCGAAGGACAAAATTAAACCACGTTTTAATCTCGGTGTAACTGATTCGGCCGATACGAAATATCTGTAATAATATTTATAATAACCTATACAACCGTTATCTTTTAAAAGTATAAATAACTGTAGTTTATAATTTATACCAATTACATGATTGTGATGCGAAAATTAAATACCTATATTTTAGATTCTGAGCGTAGCAAAGTGTATTGCATTTACAAAGACGTTTATTTTTTTGTTTTATTATTATTATTATTATTATTTTTTTTTTTTTTATGTTAACATACCAGAAAGCTTACTCCGGTGTATACGATGTAGACGCTTTTCTAAAAGGAGATTTGAATGGGGAGATACTTAAGCCGGAGAGGGCGTTTTTAAATTTTCCCAGGAGTTTTCCCAGCAAATGTGAAAAACCGTGAAAAAACATGGGAACAACATAGGAACGACGGGAAAATCAATACTACATTAAACGAATATTACTAAAGAAAATATATAATGCTTATTTAGTTATTTTTATTATAATATGACATATACATATATTGAAACAGTATCACTATCAACTGAACTCCGCTCAGAATCGTTTTTTAGTGAGCAATGGTTTATCGTTATTTAATTAATTTCCCCCGCTATATCCTACCTTTCCAACTTCTCATTAACAACAGTGGCTGCCTCATTATCCAACGACAGCTTTTTTGTTTTATTTATTTATTCGACGGAATCAATTACAATTTATTAATTACTGTGAATTACATCAATAATAATAATAGCTGACACGTATTCCAACTGAACTATAGCTCGTATCTAGTGTACGAAGTTCATGAATATTATTCAATATATAATTATTATTGATATAGTAAATATTTATACTATTAAAAATACATCTTATTTAAATAAAATTAACATAGTATAATAGATGCTGATTTTTTTTTTTTGTTTATTTGTAATTTAAGTTTGAAATTAATCAGCGTTTGATAAAGAAAGACATTATTTTTAAACAAACTACTTATAATTTTATTAATACACACATTCTCATCAAGGTCATTAACTGTTTTATTAATTGCCTTTTTTATCAAATTTGTATTAATTATATCATTGATATTAGTAGATTGACTTCCACATAAAATTTGTATTAGAATCTTTATAATATAAAGATTGGTTCCTCAGTGGTTTCCAAACTTTTATACTTGACCGTCCACTTCAAAAAAAAATCTGATAGACGCCTCCCTTAAAGAAAAATGCATTTGTACAAACGTATGTAATGAAAATTTAATTTATTGTCTATAAATTAATATAAGTATACGCTTTATAAAATAAAAGAAAGATGTCCTAATTAGATGTATCTGATGTTTTGTTAAATGTTCGTAATTTTTTTTTTATTTAATGTTTTCGCAGCCTTGACGGTTTCATAGCTTCGTTTGTAAAAACTTTTTGGCAAATGAGACACTTCGGTAATGTAATATTTGTAGGCGGTTAAATGAAACCGTACTTTAAATATTCAATATTGTATTGTCTACATCTTTTCTCCGTTTCATCCATAATGTAGATAACACGTGAATACAACTAAATAGGTACAAAAAATATTAAAAATATTATAAAACCGATGAATAACGAATACGATCGGCACACGCGAGTGTACTAAATACAAATAGAATTCAGATTATATAGATCACTCCAAAATATTATAAATTTCATCGTGATAACGACCGGATTCGACAGACAACAATGATTATTTTAAAAAATACAAAACACTTGTACAACAATTTGTACCTACTACGTAATATTGTTGAAAGAAATTGAAACAGTCATCGTTTCTTTTTACAATCCAATACCCTCAATTAAGCTTTTAACTTCCGTTGCCCCTCTGGATACCTTTAGCACACCTAAGGGAGCGATATCGCCCGCTTTGAGAAACACTGCAGTTTGTATCGTTATTTAAATTATTCAATATTGTTTTACCCGTGCAATAGGGGGAAATTCTTGTACTAGTTAATAATATTTAAATGGCAGTTTAATGTACTATCGTGTTCTTCTGTCCAATATATCTATAACGTTGAGTGTGTGGTTTTGGATGGATTTTATTAAAATTTGGCCAATACATAGTTTATAAACCATACTTGACTAGTCCGGCGTCTGATTTAAAGAATATAAGTCTGGCGCACTGCTTACTTTGAGATCTTGGACTGAATAAACTATGCAGTGGCGTACCTAGGCCTTTCTTACGGTAGGGGTGTAGGCGAGAGGCAAATACATTTTCACCCACTCTTAAAATAGAAAACTCCTTAAAAAGGTAACGTTAAAACTACAGCAATTTTAACAATAGATACGGGACGGGCTCTATCGAGTTTTTAAAATATAACATTTCAATACATAAAATAAAAAAAAGTTCATTTAATCAAATATAATATGACATAACGCAGGTTACACAAATTTATAATACAAAGTCTAACCTCCAGTTTTTCATAGAAGAGAATCTTTTCTATATCATCCACTGGTATATTGATTTTCTGGTAAATATGCAACAGCCCAAGCCCGCATAACCGATCCTGGTATATTTATTTTGTAAGTAGAAATCAATAATATGAATCAGCGGAAACCTTGACCCGGTTTGACCATAGATAACAAAAATATTTTATTAATTTATATATTAGGAGTGAGAAAGGGCACTCAAAATTTGTGTGACCTGTATATATATATATATATAAATTATAGCTGACATATATAACCGAATTTCGCTCAGAATCGTTTTTCGTTAGCAATGATTAATCGCTGCAAACAGATATACATTAAATTCCTCTCTATAGTCTACTTTCGCAAATTCTCACCTACAGCAGTACCATGTATGCTCGTCTTTTTTTGCTACAAATATTTTGTTCAAAATAGTTTTGTAATTTTCAAAAATATATACTTTTTTTTATTAAATTAATTTTGAAAAATGTATAAATAATTATAAACATTGAAAATACTTATATATGACTATAGTTGTGTCCAATTCACGAAATGAGCAATGTATCAACTATATTTGGCTCGTTCTATATAAATTGGGCAATTCACTGGTCCATTACATGAAATGGGTAAAAACTTGCCCATTCAACGAATTGGATACACCTATGGGGTATACCGTATATATTATGTATACAAACGTATACGGTATGTATCTATGTTTCCGACTTTTGGACACTTTTAGCGGCTCTTTACTCGAAAATTGGAATTTGTTGATAGGCGGATACAAGTGATCCAATTTTAATTGAATTTCAACATTTTGTTGCGAGAGGAAAGTGTTTTACAGCTTTGTGAACCCCTTAAGACCTAAGTGAAGCCAAAAGGATACAATTATTGTAATATGCACGCCCGGCGTAAGCATCTAGAATATGCATTTTAATGGTTTCAACTTTCATCTCCCTCCCTGACCATTTTAATGCTCAAATGTCATAGTTTCACAAGGAAACCCGAATTTTAAATATCCCTCCGGACTCATAAAAGTAAGAAACTGGGTTAAAATTTTTACATATAAATAATCTTGTCAAGAATATTCCTTTAGAAACCTTGAACTTTCAACTCTCGTTCACATCGTCTGTTTGTGTGTTAGTCAAAATCTCAAGAACTATTAAATTTATTTCGATTCAACTTGTTTCGTTCGATTCCTCATCATTGCCAAAATGAGGGGAGGAATATTAACACAACGATATAGGACAAGAAGACGGGTGTGTCGTGATCAATAGGTTTCAATTCATTTAAAAAACAAAACCATAAATATTTTAGATGAATTTAAAAAAAATATTGGTATGAAATATTTTAACGGCGACAAGTCTGATGGAGAAAAATTTCGAAGGAGCTTTTCTGCTCATGGGCGTTTTTTTTTTTTTTTTAATGTCTGTAAGTCTGTAAACAACCTTTCTGTCTAAAATCTTGCTCTAATAAAAAAAATGTAAAAAAGTTTCTCGTGACGTTTTTGATGTAGTTTAGGTGATTCTTTTTTTTTCCCTTTGCAGTTTTCTTAATTAATGGGAAATACTGGCGATGGATGTTGAATTTGTTGTGCGATTTTCGTCGATTTCTAAAATTGGAGGGATATCTCGACGATGGATAGAAAACGACCAACACAATACTCTGTTCAGAATCCGTTTTTCGTTAGCGACGATTTATCGTGGCGCACGAATACAAAACCGAATCACTGGTTGTACCCGTCCCTCCCGATATCTGCGCTGAAACGGAGGCACACCCATCGGCGATATAATATCAGCGTTTTATCGTATTGTTGTTCCCGGTCCCGCGGTGTAATTATACCGTTATTATTATTATGATTATAATTATACAGCGTGCGCGCGTTCTCTGCGTGGGACGATACCGCGTATATAACGTCTCGAATTCGGTTGGCTGGTCGGGGAGTTATGGGAAAACTCGTTCGAACGCGCGCGCGCGGCGGGCTCACGCGGACGTACGAATAGCGCGTACATAGCGGCGCTTCTTGGCGGAGGTCGTCGTCGCCGCCGCGGCCACCGCCGTCGTCGTAGGGGCGTTGGCGGGCGGGCGGCGGCGGTAGGGGCACGCACAGGCGGCGGAAGGATCGAAAAGCGTGTGCGGGAGGGGGGGGGGACGGCGTCGGTGGCGGGCGGCGGCGGGCGGTGGCAAACTTTTCGAGGCGGGCGCGCAGGCCTGCCGTACGCGCGGACCGCCGTTGCGCGTACGCCGGCGTTTCCTATCGATCGCGCGCGCCAGGCGACCGTCCGCACCGCCACCGCTGGTCCAGTCTCGCGGTCGCCATATTGCGACGAGCTTTGCGCGCCGCCAAACCGAGACGGGCCCACCCCGACGAAGCATCACCGTCATCGTAATCATCACTGCACACTGCACGCGCACAGCCGCCGGACGGCATGGACTGAAAACGACGTCGCACGCACGATCGTACGTACGCCGCTCGCCGCTCACGACGACCGTCGGCGCGACTACGCGTAGTCGAGTTATAGGCTTATAATACAACAGCGTTTCGCAGTTTGCGGACGGACTGCCGTCGTGACGGACGCCGCAACAGCAGCGCACTGAAACCGGGTGTCCCGCGACAGAGCAGCGCACGTCTCTGAGACGACGGACCGTCGCCGTCTCCGCCTCCGTGGCCGCCTATAATATTATTATTATAGAACATATACGCCGCGTTGTCGTTCACTATCCGCGTGAGAGGTACACGTGGATCGCGTGTCCCGTTTCGCAAACGCCGTTGTCGTCCGCGGACCGTCGTTGTTGTTATTGCCGCTGTGCCGCGTTCGCGAACGAACCGCCGCCGCGGGATAAACGCTGACCGTCGACGTCGTTACAGCGCATTATAAACGCGCGTCTGCCCCGCAGCTGGGAAATCGAGCGGACGACGGCGAGGACGACGACGACGACGACGACGACGCGTCGTCTCCGGTTTTGAACTCGGGCCGTTCACAACGCTGGTAAGTCGTGAAACACGTTATTGTTTACTGACTGCGTGTACCGATATTGTATCGGTGTAGTTT